GAATGACGCTGGCTTATATGTTCCCAAAACCTCTATGAAACGATGCGTTTATTCAACAAATATACGACGCGTTTAATCTTTCTCTACGCACGCTTTAAGCGAACGGGGGGAGAACCTCCCCCCTTTAGCTTATATATGCCCAAAAGCTATATGAAATATAGCGTTTATTCAACAACAATAAGGCGTGTTTAATCTTTCCATACGCGTATTTTAAGTGACGTTGGCTTATATATTATCAGAAAATCTATGAAACGCTGCGTTTATTCAACAAACATAAGACGTGTTTAATCTTACCTTACAGGTTTTTTAAGTGACGTTAGCTTATATGTTCCCGAAAGCAATATGAAATGTAACGTTTATTCCACAAACATACGACGTGTTTAATCTTACTTTACACGTACTTTAAGTGAAGTTAGCTTATATGTTCCCGAAAGCTATATGAAATATAGCGTTTAGTCAACAAACATACGACATGTTTAGTTTTTCCATACGTGCATTTTAAGTGACGTTGGCTTATATATTCCTAAAAACTCCATGAAACGTAGCGTTTATTCAACAAACATACGACGTGTTTAATCTTACCTTACGAGTTTTGTAAGTGACGTTTGCTTATATGTTCCCGAAAGATAAAGGAAATGTAGCGTTTATTCAACAAACATACGACGTGTTTAGTTTTTCCATACGCGCATTTTGAGTGACGTTGGCTTATATATTCCCAAAAGCTATATGAAACGTAGCGGTTAGTCAACAAACATACGGCGTGTTTAATCTTACCTTACGCGTATTTTAAGTGACTTTGGCTTATATGTTCCCGAAAGACTAAAGGAAATGTAACGTTTATTCAACAAACATACGACGTGTTTAATTTTTTCTGTACGCGTATTTTGAATGACGCTGGCTTATATGTTCACGAAAACAATATGAAAGGTAACGTTTATTCAACAAATATACGACGCATTTAATATTTCTCTACGCACACTTTAAGCGAACGGGGGGAGAACCTCCCCCCTTTAGCTTATATGATCCCGAAAACAATATGAAAGGTAGCGTTTATTCAACAACAATACGGTGACAATACGACGTGTTTAATCTTCCCCAACGCGCATATTTCAAATGATATGTTTCCAAAAGCTATGGATGATATGTAGCGTTTTTTTCAACAAACATACGCTGTGTTATATCTTTCCCTACGAATATCTTAAGTGAACGGGGAGGTACTTCTTCCCTTTAGCTTATATGTTCACAAAAACTATATGAAAGGTAGCGTTTATTCAACAAATATACGACGCGTTTAATCTCTCTATGCACACTTTAAGCGAACGAGGGGAGAACCTCCCCCCCTTTAGCTTATATATTCCCAAAAGCTATATGAAATAAAGCGTTTATTCAACAACAATAAGGCGTGTTTAATCTTTCCATACGCGTATTTTAAGTGACGTTGGATTATATGCTCCCAAAAGCTATTTGAAACGTAACGTTTATTCCACAAACATATCACATGTTTAATCATTCCACTGACGCGCATTTTAAGTGACGTTGGCTTATATATTCCCAAAAACTCTATGAAACGTTGCGTTCATTCAACAAACATACGACGTGTTTAATCTTACCTTACGAGTTTTTAAGTGACGTTAGCTTATATGTTCCCGAAAGCAATATGAAATGTAACGTTTATTCCACAAACATACGACGTGTTTAATCTTACCTTACACGTACTTTAAGTGAAGTTAGCTTATATGTTCCCGAAAGCTATATGAAATATAGCGTTTAGTCAACAAACATACGTCATGTTTAGTTTTTCCTTACGTGCATTTTAAGTGACGCTGGCTTATATATTCCCAAAAACTCTATGAAACGTAGCGTTTATTCAACAAACATACGACGTGTTTAATCTTACCTTACGAGTTTTGTAAGTGACGTTTGCTTATATGTTCCCGAAAGCTCAAGGAAATGTAGCGTTTATTCAACAAACATACGACGTGTTTAGTTTTTCCATACGCGCATTTTGAGTGACGTTGGCTTATATATTCCTAAAAACTCCATGAAACGTAGCGGTTAGTCAACAAACATACGGCGTGTTTAATCTTACCTTACGCGTATTTTAAGTGACGTTGGCTTATATGTTCCCGAAAGCTAAAGGATATGTAACGTTTATTTAACAAACATACGACGTGTTTAATTTTTCTGTACGCGTATTTTGAATGACGCTTGCTTATATGTTCCCAAAACCTCTATGAAACGAAGCGTTTATTCAACAAATATACGACGTGTTTAATCTTGGTTTAGGTAAACGGGAAGTGATCTCTTCCCTTCAGCTCATATGTTCCCAAAAGTTGCATAATTTTGCGTTATTCTATTTTGTCTCTGTATTCAAACTGGCAAATACTGTCCGTCCGTAACATGTTTATGATGTTACGTACTCAGTCCTGGAATTTTTAGGTGGACAATTCGGGTGTGAAAGTACAAGACCGTTGTTTCAGGATGCACAAATCAGTTGTCGGCGGTGAATGTAATGAGAAATGAATCATGAATGTAAATGTAAATGTAAAAAGTTGTTTATAAAAACATGAAACAAAGAATATCTGCGGTGTGTTTCGGTAAGATGCGCTGACAAGGCATGGTGTTTTTCAAAATGTAAATTTATTCAGTGCCAAGCTGTGAAAAAACAACCCAGGGATTCAAATGCAAGTTAATCGCCATATGGGGGAGCCGATATCTGCCAGATGGTGTGTCATGTGACAGGGTATTATCCAATGACAGACAACGGTGGGATTTTGAAATCTACTGGATATGCAAGACGCAAGCACTAGGGCTAGCATTTTACAGGGCGCCTTTTTGAAGACAAGTACTGGATGGAAGATTGGACCAATTCCATCAGGACTCACTGCAGGTTATGTACGAGATTCACTTGGGTTTAATCACCCTGAACCCTGACGGAACGGACACAAAACTAGGGCACATGGTCCTCGTTCTGTACAAGTGTACAACGGATTGGAGTGGAGATATGGAACACGGCACTGCACGGCACGGAATGAGAAAACATCACGACCGTATATCTGTATCGGCGACCAAGACCGGGAGTCATATCGGTATCTGTATTCGCGAAACTGAGCGGATTACTTCTCCAAGCCTGCGGTGGCCAAATGGACAAGAGTGCTCTTTTAAAGTAAACTCTACCTTTGCCTAACGACGTTGGATTCGGAATTCTAGACTTGGATACAGCGCCGAATCTTGAAGGAACTTTGCACGGACACAGTGACTTATCGCTCGAGCTCAGCCGCTGCATCAACGAGAACAAAGACTACACGACTTGGTCACTAGCCTGGTTTCCAGTCTACCGGGTATGAAGCGGCTTTCTTTGGGGATCCAGGACCTCTTCGCCGCCGGAGTAAGCCAGGCTCCACGGTACGTTTCGCATCGATATCGTGCCGCTAAACTCTATCCAGGGAGCCTAACTTCAACAGGACGGCAGGCCCGAAGATAGCCCACCCAAACCACGACAGGACTGGACACCAAAATGCCACAAATACCTCTGACATACGCAGAATAAACGGCAAGTAAATGCAACAGAATACGCCAACGTTACGCACACTTTATGGGTAATAAAGACGCAGTTTAAGCTGCTGAAAGTCAACTGAAAATCCGAAAAATAAGCACCATATACGCAACAAATGATTACCTTTACACACACGTATATTGGCCGTAAAAGTGCTTCAATTAGAAATAAACGTGAACTTTAAATACGTTATAAGAGCATTTTAAAAAGTATTTATGACAACTTTAAGCAGCTGAAAGGCTACGTGAAAACCGGAAAATACGGATCCATCCGCACCTTTCCGTCATCTTTACACACACTTATATGAGCCGTAATAAATGCTTAAAGAATGAAAATACGTCAACTTTACTTTCAATTTAGAAATATTTTCATCCTTATTTAAGACATCTTTAAGTGCTTAAAGGCTACGTGAAAACCGGAAAATAAGGATCCATCCGCACCTTTCCGTCAACTTTACACATACGTATATCATCCTTAAAAATGCTTAAATAATAAAAATACGTCAACTTTACATACAATTTAAGACTATCTTTATCATTATTTAAGACATCTTTACACACACTTATATGAGCGGTAATAAATGCTTAAAGAATGAAAATACGTCAACTTTACTTACAATTTAGAAATATTTTCATCCTTATTTAAGACTATCTTTAAGTGCTTAAAGGCTACGTGAAAACCGGAAAATAAGGATCCATCCGCACCTTTCCGTCAACTTTACACATACGTATATCATCCTTAAAAATGCTTAAATAATAAAAATACGTCAACTTTACATACAATTTAAGACTATCTTTATCATTATTTAAGACATCTTTAAGTGCTTAAAGGCTACGTGAAAACCGGAAAACAAGGATCCATCCGCACCTTTCCGTCATCTTTACACATACGTATATTACCCTTAAAAATGCTTAAACAATAAAAATACGTTAACTTTACTTACAATTTAAAAATATTTTAATCATCATTTAAGACATCTTTAAGTGCTTAAAGGCTACGTGAAAACCGGAAAATAAGGATCCATCCGCACCTATCCGTCATCTTTACACATACGTATATTATCCTTAAAAATGCTTAAATAATAAAAATACGTCAACTTTACATACAATTTAAGACTATCTTTATCATTATTTAAGACATCTTTAAGTGCTTAAAGGCTACGTGAAAACCGGAAAATAAGGATCCATCCGCACCTACGGAAAGACCACGTAACGTCGATCTTTACGTACCCGTATAAAACGTGTATAGATGCGTAAAGACGGAATATACGTTGACTTTAAGCATAGTTTAAGCATCCGTAAATACCGTTTTTCGTGCCGTGATACCCGCTGGTTTTCAACATCCCAGCGAAGCTCAGCAAAGCAAATTCCGAGCACACAACTGAATTCGAAGACCGAGGAAGCTTCCCGACGCCTGCAGCAACCAACCCACAAACTCGACGCCAAACTACAGAAGATTACAAGTCTTTCACACCGAGTGACCAGCCTGCGGTGTCTCTGATGTCCACAGTCCAGGGCAGTACTCCCCAGACTATAAATCTTGGGCCAACCGCATCCGGACCAGTGCCTCCAGCTTTTCTTCCCCTGGCTAGCGCTGTTGCCTCAATATTGGCAGGGTTTCTGTTCTTGGTACTCCTTTATACAGGGTACCTGTTGAAGAGGCGCCGACTGAAATCAATACGTTTACAGGCCAACACCAGCAATCCTAGTGATGCACGTGTTTGGGTTCTCCCGGGCGGTACTTTGCCTAGTCTGTTTAGGTCTGCTTCCCTCCCTGCTGTATCACACACAAGCCGGGAGGATCAGAACGACACCGTCTCCTGTATGTCATTGCCAGCAGTCATACGTTCCATTCAGCCCTTTTACAGTGAAATTCCAGACCATGTAGCTGCTGCTCAGCGGCCTCTGCCTGCCGTCCCTGACACTCACAGGGATGGTCCTGACAGTCACAGTCCAGAGGACGAAGATCATGTGTACGAACCTGCCGCTCCATGCCCTTCGCCTGCCCTCCTTTACACTCACATGGATGGCCGAAGTGTTGCTGAGTTAGCTCCTGTGTACAACCGTCAACACACTGCTGGTATAAGGCATGTTGTTGCTTATAAATCAATGGAAGGAGCCGGGTACCACTGCGATAACACTTACACCCACTTGTCACTGAGTGTGGCAAGAGAGGGAGCCCGAAGGCGGGCATCCTTACCTATCCTCACTTTTAACACGTATTGGCCATGGGAGATCCCGGGGGAGGAATCCCGAAACTCAGCATGCCAAGAGCCTTTGGCAACTTTACCAAACACATACTGGCCATGGGAGATGCTTAGCTATGGGGAGAGCACCCGTAACATACCTAGTCGGGAACAACTTCCCCTTCTACCGTCTGATACGTACTGGCCTTGGGAGATCCCAGGGGAAGGGGCCCGTAATACGCGACGACGAGGATCCCTCCCTAACACCTACTGGCCATGGGATATCACTGTTGAGGGGAGTCAATCCATACCTCGTCGAGAATACTTGTCTACTCTCCCTGATACGTACTGGCCTTGGGAGATCCCAGAGGAGGGGGGCCGTAACACACGACGACGAGGATCGCTCCCTATTCTCCCTAACACCTACTGGCCATGGGATATTCCTGGGGAGGGGAGTCAATCTATGCCTCGTTGAGAATCCTTGCCCACACTCCTGATACGCACAGTCTAAATATAAGGGATGGTCCCCATAACATGCCTTAGAGAAGATCCATAAAAATCATCTCTAATGATCCTCTAATGTCTGCTAACTTTGGAAATCCTGAGAGACAGAGTTCAAGAAAACACAGAATATCAAGAGCGTTTAGGTTGATTCACACACTACGAGATATCTGTGGTATTCATCGATGCCAGACCCCACTACTTTCAAACATATCTAGACCAACACTAAGCTAACACCCATGGAAAGAGAAAATGCTACAGAAAATGTTTTAAAAATGTATCTTGGGTGACAATCGTTCAATTTCGTGTTCTATGTGTGTGATGTGTGTCGTGTACTACTATAGGAGATGTAAATAATAGAAGCCAGACGTTTGTTGTTGTGCGGGAACATAGAGATTGGTGTTAATGCCAAGTTAATGCGGCCAAGCTTGGATGTCAAATATTTTGGGGAAAAAGACCCAACCTTGATGAAGCTGGTACTTAGTGCCAGTTATCATAACGCAGCATAAGCAAAGAAATTCCATAGGGAAAACCTTTTACAAAAGTGGTGTTTGGTAATCCTGCAAAACAAGCCAACCGGACCGAAAAAAAGATAGGCAAGTTTCTGGTCAGAAGACTAGCAGAAAAGCTGACAAGTTATGTCTTTCTTTGTTTAAAATGGCGATGGTTTAGTCTTAAACCTACCAACCAATCCACAGGTGGACCATGTATTCTGCACAAATTCAAAGGGCGCGAAGCCGTCGCCACATAACCGGCGGTGACCCATGTATGAGACAGGTGATCCGCCGAGCCGGGGTTTGCCCGGGCATTTATCATTACAGGTGCCGAGGCCGCTGTGGGCGCAGGCCTAGAGGAGCCGGACGGCGAGCCCGATGGGTCCTTCCCGGTGGGAGGAGCGCTAGGGCGAGCCAACCGTAAAGCAGTACCCCGCCCCAGCCTTGTCGGGGCGAACACCGTCAATGATATAATTTGGGCTAGCAATGTGAACAATAGTGATGACAACGTAAAAAGACACTGCCATGGCGACAATTACTCTCCAAGCAGAGGTTTGGGTTTTGGCGTGTTTTTAGGCTTTTTTTTTATCGGGGTTTCTTTTTTGCACTGAAATTTGGAGGGGGGGGGATAAGCCAAGCCAATTACTCTCCAAGCAGAGGTTTGGGTTTTGGTTTATTTTTGGCGTGTTTTTAGGCTTTTTTATCGGGGTTTCTTTTTTTGCACTGAAATTTGGGGGGGGGGGTGAAAACTAAGCCAAGACTTGCTTGGAGATTAGGCGACAATGGTCTCTGTTGGTGTTTTCGCTTTTCATTACTTATAGCCTATGAAAGCTATTAAAGCATTTCTTTATAAATTATACTAGAAAGCTATTATGGCATTTCCTCATAAATTATGCAAATGAGGTTCTGATTTGGATAATTATCTTAGAACATGTTCACCTACACGTAACTTCAAAATGTGGTAAGTATGGAATACTCAGCAGTTCAGATTATGAACTTTTTCATTTTCTCATTAATTATGCAAATTAGGTCTTCATTTACATAATCAATATCTACCGACGTTCCTCTCCTTATCAATTACATGTGTCACAAGTTTGAACGATCCTATCTTGGAATACAGCACATTTGTAGACTTTCATCATCAATTATGCAGATTAGATTCTCACTGGTCTTGACATAAATGTCTTCGTCAGAAGGACTATGAAATTGTCTCGCCGGAGTGTGGGGAACTGCGGATTTTGCGATATAACTCTGGAAGGCATGATTCGACGTCCATGATTTTTGGCAGGCATATTACCGCTGTTGAGGCCAAAGTCAAGTACAAATTTCGGCTTCGTGGGGGGTCCGTGCGTCACGTTAGTGTACCTTTTGTGTTTGTGGCTTGTTAGCAAGATAACTCAAGTATTTGTAAAATGTTGATTATAATTCTTGTTGTGGTGCTTACTATTGTCGGGACCAAGGTTAAGTTCGTTACTGAGCTTCGTGGGGGGTTTCGTTGTGACTATAGGGGGCATTTTGTTAATTTTCCTTGTGAGCAGGATAACTTTTGTATGTGTGGATGGAAGTTAATGAAATTTGATAGGCATATTACTGTCGTGGTCTCCAAGATTGAGTTCAAAGATGAGAGTCGTGGAGGTCGTTATGTCCCCGTAATAGGACCTTTTGTGTTTAGAAATCCCCCACCTACATCTGCTTGGAGACAAACGACAGCTGGATATAGCCGGGGAACCCCATAATGGGATGGGATCAAATGACGTTACATTGAGGGATTGTACTATAACTTCAGCAGGGGGAGGATAGGTTGGACATATGTCAGGTTATTTTCTACGGCCACACCAAGTAATTGCTTATAATGGATGACGTCCACTGGAGACCTTAAATCTAATTGGCAAGCGCGCAATAAAAACACGAAGGGCCGAAAAACGAGATGCCTAGATTTGGAATATACTAACTGTAGAAGTACAAATGTTAGGACACAAAGAACACAAGAAACAAGTCTTCTATTTGTCATAAAGACAAATTAACAAAACAGCAGTAGTCACCCTGTTCTGATTCTTTCCTTTATAACATCTTCTCTTATTATATTTTGCGGCGCTGTCGTGACACTTTCAACACAGAAAGAATTTCTTGAACGTTTTGTTTTTCCAGTAACAGTCCAAACTCAAATAACGTGTGGGGGGGGGGCTAACACGGGTGACGACGCATCTGTATAATCTGCGGCAAACCGTTTCAGGGTGTTCTGTACCATAATAGTACAGAGATTCTTTTGTTCTTTAGACCAAATTGATTATTAAAAAGAGTGAAGAATACGCATGTTAATTTCTCTAGAACGATGTACCTCTGACGAAGACATGAGATCTCCGACCTCTAGTTGTCTTTAATTATGTCAAGCACCACTTAAGCTACATAAATGCCAATAGTCACGACGATCTGTCAACCTGTTCTCGAGTTATCCTAAATCAATCAATCAATCAATCAATCAATCATCCGCGGGCATCATGGTCTGATGCATAGCGGCTACAGTCGTGCACAGGTCCCGCCAGGTTGCTCTGTCACCGGCACAGACCCTCCAGTTGTCTCTGACACCCAGCTCCCCAAGTGTGGGGAAGAGCTGGTCTGGTCCTCCCTCAAAGATTTTTAGGCAACCGCCCCTGCAGTTCCCGAACAAGCTGCTAGGGAACATAAACTCATAACACTTCTTCCTGAGCAGAAAAGCTTTCGACCATTCAAAATTCGTGACACCAGTACTAGCATGCCAATCGTAGGTTCCGCTCCTGTATATCATAAGAAGCGTTGAGGGAGCCCAAAATGTAATGATTTTGAGGTTTTATCAAGACCTGTCCACCTACCTACCGATTTTCATGACCTGTGCAAACATTCCTGTACAATTCTTGCAGACTGCGCACAACAATATACGATTACGATCCCCCTGAAGCAACATGCTACATGGGGTATAACCAGTAGAACTGACCAGGATCATGTTGATATACATATACATATACATATACATATACATATACATATACATATACATATACATATACATATACATATACATATACATATACATATACATATACATATACAGCTTACATGGACTCTTTGAGTTGCCAAAGTAAAGGTAGTAAAAGGTGAAGGTAGTCCGTAGCCTTTTTGATGCTGTAGGACCAACAAGCATGACCATCATTTATGCTCATGTTTCGGATAGAAGGCATCCGCAAGAAGAGTCCCACAGTGGCAGGACAGGTAACTCGGCCATCCACGGAGAGCCAGTATGGCACATGGGGCGGGTAGTATGTCGTTGGATGCGATGGCGGGTGATATTTGGGAGCGTTTTCTTCTACAACAGAACATTTTGCTTTTCAGACTAGAACAGATGTATGCGTTAGTCCATCTCAGAAACTAAGACTACTGAAAGACAAAGAAAGCAGCAGGTTCCGAACACACATACAACAATTGACGTAAGAGCGTCACCTTGCCCATCCTGCAATGGCACAGTGAAACGGGAAATTGCTGAGCTATGACAGCTCTTACATGGCCCTAGTAGCCAACAATAGTGCACTAGGGGGAGAGGCAGTGTTCGGAGCGGCGGTGACCGTTAGAACCCCCTCTCGTGATCCGGCTCGAGCTCCATGAACGAAGGATGAGGCACGGGGATCAGTGAAAGGCGCACCATGAAACTGTTGCCGGTGGCTGACATGCTGCTGATGAAATGTTTCTCTTGTATGGTCGTGACTATGGCATTTATCCCCCAATGTGGAACTTTTGGGGAATAACACGCTGCATCGATACACCACTATTAATAAACGTACCATAGTCTGCAACCCAGCCCATGCGCCATGCTGCTCTCCGAGTTTTGTCAAGTAACAAACCTCCATGAAGGGCTGTCCTAACTAAAGTGTGAAATGGTGTGACGCTTCATGTGATGCCTGAGCTAGACGAACATGGTCTGTTTACAATGGTAGTTTGATTCCTTTAAAATGTACAAAACTATACTAAATCTCACTTATATTTACGCAATTTTTGAAAGGTCCTTAATTTGGAATCTCCAAAAATTTGCGTAATTCTAAGGACCTCCAAAAATGCTGGAAAAAGTAACCTCCAAAAATTGTTCCAAATCATGAATCATAATACTATACATAATGAAGCCTTGTTAGCAAACTTTTACAGTGTACATGTATGTACGTAGATGTCACAGGCTAAATGATCGGCTTATTATTAGCATGGAGCGCGCCATGGAATCGAAATTCTTTCAACTTGAAAGTAAGGAAATTCCTTTAGGGTGAGCATATTCATATACATGTATTAGTAAAAAGCGTGAATATTTACTTCACAGCGCTTGTTTTTGTAAATCTAAGTAGGGAGGTTAAAATTTTGATTTTTGATGTAAAGTGATAGAAACCTTATATTTGTTCCTTTTGTACACTTCTACATAGAATAAATGCAAACGTTTGATGTTGCTATGTATTTGCTGAATTAGACGTAACACCATTTACAGTGCACCGTGTTATATGTCAAATTCCTGTAAAACAACCTCGTTTTAACAAAGTTGCTAGAGACTAAATAAAGATACGCACATTTCAAATTTTATTGGTGTGATTGCAACTTAATCAATAATTTGTGAATCTCCTCAATTTGATTAAGCAAACATCTCCACACTACCCTGGAATGACACCTGTCACTCACGTACTTGTCTATCTAACAGGCCTAGAAAAAAGAATCCGCCCATTGACTGACCTGAATAGGTCATTTAGCGCAGATAGATTCACTTTCAGCACGTCAAAAATGCGCCATGATACAGTTTAACAGTAACTCAGTCACAGACAGTTACCACTTAGCTGAGAACAGAGGTTTCTCTGTCAGCTTGAGGTGAGTGGAAAGATTTTTTGGCGTCACCTTTGCAAAGAACACTACTCGTTGCGTATTGTTTATTCATAATTTGTGTGTTGTAAAATTAATTCACTCTCTAGGATTTATATGTGCGAATTATCAAAAGATTCCTCCCAGAAAACATAATTTGTCAAACGCTAAATGTTTGAAATATGAAATTGAATTTATGTCTGACATATGGATATAAATCCAACTATTTATAGTATTATTTTCCCAAATTATAATCACTTCTTCAGAGATTAGTTGAATGCTGGTGCTCATTATGATCCATTATGCTAACATATAGTTTTTAATGTCCAACGTACACTCATAATGACTACACTAATAGAGACCATGTCAACCTTTGAATTTGATCCAATCAATTGCAACTGTGATATCCTCACGCATGTAGTGCAGGTCACCTGCTTCTAGATCTGTTTCGGTGGGTAGCAAGATTTTAAGGCTTTTCTGTCTCCCAATAATACTATCAACTGGATGTTGGTTCAGGTATTCAGATTCTTCAGTGAGCCAATATAGCTATCACCCCCGTGGTGTAATGCGCTCGTCGAAATGTACACGGTCAAGACTACTATATCAAGGGGGTGGGTTTAAAACCATGTTTTGTCTTTTTATTTTTCATTCGGCCATACACATATACTATTGATATTTTATCAAGTTATATTTTATCTTTATGTAGCCTTTTGCAGCCCCATTGAGTGAATATTTAAAAGAATTACATCTTTTCCTTTTTTGTCCCCTATTTTGAGTAAAATCGCCCACTGACCTCCTTGTGACCCACATGTGTACAAAAGTTGACAAAGTCCATAATTTTGTGACTATCACGAGCTTATGCAGCCTGCCAGACGACATAAAACTCCACTCTAGAAGATAATGTAAGTGCGCAAGGTTAGTACAACAATTTTAGAACCTTAATTCCTAGTATCAAGTCTGTAAGAATTATATTTTTGACCAAGGACATAATTTTCTACACAGTACAAACAGAAGTACCAAACCTATGGCCTATGGCGGATCGTTATACCACTGTATGGGACCTTTATGAATTAACCTAGTACCTAACGGGTGGATAACGTTATACATGTATGTTTAATAAAGTTTTTGAACAAGACTCTCATTATACGCGGCACAGTGTCAAGGGGAGGAGACGGGGGTAATTTATCGTCATTTTTCATGGAAAGGGTGAGATCGCGATTTGTTTTGTAGCTGTCATTATATATAGCGGCCATGGCGGTTCCTGTTGTGTCCACGGCCGGCGGCAAGGTGCGAGGAACGGTGCAGTACACAAACGACCTGCCGGACAAACCTGTCTACACCTTCCTCGGCATCCCGTACGCAGCGCCCCCTGTCGGAGACCTGCGGTTCCGCGCGCCTCTGCCTGCCGCTCCGTGGGAAGGAGTCAGGGATGCTACCGAACTAGGCCCCTACTGTCCACAAGATCAAGATGCCTTCAACCTCTACCCTATTCAGCTCAAACATTACAAGTTCAGTGAAGACTGCCTAACACTGAATATCGAAACACCAACAATGAGAAAGGATGCAGGACTGCCTGTAAGTTTTGACAGGTGTTACTAAAATGAAAGGCATTGTGTCATATGGAAAAGGGGACATGCATGCCCTTGTTCGTAATGCGTAATCAGGCCTTTCTTAGTCTTTGTCATCCGTAGGCATCCTCCCCAAAAATCAACGTAATTCGTAATAGTACATTAACCGCAAAGTGTAAAGTCGTAAACGGTGGCAAAAATGTTGCGTAATTTGTAATCCCTACCCCCCATGCAGGCCCTTATTAAAATGAAAGCCATTGTGTTATATGGAAAACATCCAAGTTGTTGGACAGATTATGTCATATTAGAGCATAATTAATAAGTATGAAATACACCGTGTTGTAGGTGCTCCTGTGGATCCATGGTGGTGGATTTGTATCTGGACTGGGACACCAGGTGCCCTTCCTATCCCTGGCTGCCCACCAAGACGTGGTGGTCGTGACCTTCAACTATCGCCTCGGCGCCCTTGGCTTCCTCAGCACCGGGGACGAGAACGCACCCGGGAATGCTGCTTTCCTTGACCAGGTTGGATAAATATTCTGTTGTCTACAATTAGCTGTTAATGATTTGTAGGGTAATTAAGATATGGTGATGATCAAATAAAGGGGCATGTCTGTTAATGCATCTAAATGTCATCCCTTTAGACCTGTGACATATAGATAGCAACATATAGATTTTTCAAAAAGGAAACCAATACAAGGATAAGCTTGAAAAGGCTTGAAAGTACCACATAATTGTCATACGCAATTCCCATTGTTCTCCTCTATAGGTTCAGGCGATGGTTTGGGTCCAGCAGAACATCAGAAACTTTGGAGGGGATCCGGACCGGGTTACGCTATTCGGTTTGTCCGCTGGTGGCACGAGTGTTTGTTACCACCTTGTTTCGCCTCTCAGCAAGGGTCTGTTCCAGCGAGCCATCTCTCAGAGTGGTGTGTGTCAAACACTGGATGTCGTGTCAAATCCACTGGACAGAGCAGCAATGCTAGCAGGAGAAATGGGCTGTGATACAAAGAGCACAGCCAGCATGGTGGCGGGCCTTAGGGAGAAGTCAGTAGACCAAATAGTCGCCTGTAGCCAACATCTTTTGAAGAAACTAGGTTCCAAAGGGGAGCTTCTTGCTTTTGGGCCTGTTGTTGATGGAAGCTTTCTTCCAATGTGTCCCTCGGACGTATTTGATCTCGGACAGGCACACACAGTAGACTATCTTCTAGGTGTGGGAAACCACGAGTATGGGTTTCAGCTCCCAAATCAGTATATCCGAGGATTTGGACAAGGACTAACCGTGGACAGGTATCTCGTCAGGCTGAAAAAGAGGATGGGAGCAGTCTATCCAGTAAGTTTATAGGACCTGTATTTTGACCTTTTTTTCATGACAAATCAGTGACGTTACTTTCTTAACATAATTTGCTTTTCAGATGTTAGTTAAATTGTGTTTGCTTGTGTGTGTTTCCCAACAGAAAGCCAACTTGAACAACATCACAGCAGCCATACGCAGGACGTACCAGGAAGGTGACAACCCAGATGACCCACATGCTGTAGAGTACCAGTTCACCCAGGCCTTCGGAGATCAGATGTTTGTTGCTCCGACTGTTCTCACTGCAAACAAACATTCAGGTGAGCTCTTTTGGTACTTTACCCCTTGTCTTTGGGAAGTTAGATTTTTTTGTGGTGACAATAGTTGCAATGTACAGAGGGATGGTCTCAGAATATGACAAAATTCTTTTTCAGCTGCTGGACAGAAAGTCTACCTGTATGAGAACCAGTATGCGCCCTCTAGTCCTGCAGCTGTCCGGCCAGACTGGGTGGGGTGTGACCATTCAGACGAGGTTTTGATGGTGTCTGGCGCTGCCTTCCTGGATGTGCCTTTGAAAGTCGGTGCTCTGCTGCCATTCTCCCCTGATGACAAAAGGACCAGCCTGAGCATGATGGCTTACTGGGCAAACTTTGCTAGATCTGGGTACGTGTTGATTTTACACTCAATCATAATCTGCAATATTCTAAGTTCTTTTAAGACAATTCATAAAATGGATTCCTTTCAGCAAAGAGGTTAAGTATCTAACCTCATTACTTTCAGTTTGTGTCTCTTTCTCGTTAGTGCATGTTTTTAATCAGGCAATATCTCGAATTCAACTCTTTTAATGCAACAGAGATTGTTATTATTAGACTGTCATCTCAGCAGAGTAAAAATTTACTAAACTCAATGCTTTCCTCCAACCCAGAAACCCATCTGACGGTACCGGCGGCCCAGCTGACAGCCCCATGGTACCAGAGTGGCCCCAGTACACACCTGACAACCCCGCCTACATGAAGCTGGATGTGACGTCATCTGCTGACGTAGGGCTGAAGACAGAAAGGATGGCCCTGTGGAATGACGTCATCCCCAAGCTTGCTGCATCTTCCAAGTTGTGATGTTCAGGAAGTACAGTTAGTGTTTTTAAGCAAGAACATTTCAATTGAGTCTATCTGTTCTCTACCCAGTGCTTTTAAAAATGCAATAATGTATGGTATCAAAATACATGTCTTCTCCAACTGATAGCTTTGTACCTGTGTAGTGCAAAATAAATCAAACCACAGGATGAATTCTCTGTACATTCAGACATTTCAGATAGCATCTGCTTTGTTTCATCAGTAGCTGTGAATGAGTCAGAAGACAAGAGTAGCCTGTATCTGAACACAATAGTTTTATGGTTTTTAATAACATGACAAAGGAGACCAAACATACATTTCTGTGTGGGAATGTCAAAATATCTGTAATTGTATCAACATGCCTGTATCAATTGTCTATGTCATTGTGGTGAGAAATTTGGATATAATATAAGATGATTAGGCTCAGGGGTGTTCCTGGAAGAGTTTCTGGAACTATACATGTATATGAATAAACAAAATTACCTTAATTTAAGTACAGGTCACAACAAATGAATACATGTAATTTGCATTCATGCACTTATGCATACATGTATACATAACCAAGTTAGCACTATAGTCTATTGAATAAATTAGACTTCTCCTTGGTCCTCTGTGATGGTTTTAGAATGTCTTATATCATTGTGAATATGTATAATTTAGGTGTATGAAGTAGGGAAACATTTATGTAATCAGTCTATAAAATTCTACACAATTATATGTTGGAGAGATGTTCCCCCCGTGGCAACTATTTCCTGATCTCATCCCTCTAATCTTTACTTCCGTCTCTGTTTTTTGTAGCCATTGCTGTTTTAAAGTGATGATATGGTTGAAGTAGCTTAGTAGTAGTGTTGTTTTTTTTACTATGTTTTATTCCGACCCAAATTAAAACCAAAGAAGGTGAAGCAACACAATTTCAGGTTCAAAACCGCCCCATTTTATTTCAAACTATATGTAAAGACCTATAATGGACAGACACCACTTGTACAGGTTCTAGCGTGTGTTCGATCCGGCACACGTGAAGCCGATAGTCACGTACTCCACCGACTCCTGCCACTCGCCCTCGCTGTTTCTCCGCAGGACGTTCAGCTGGTAGTCGATCGGGAGGCAGGCGAGGTCGGCCCGAGGCGCCCCAGTGGCAGGGTCGTGGCACCGGGAACCCGTGTACTCCTTCACAGCTACCTTCAGAGTCGACGGGAAACGGTCGGGTTGGACGTTGTCTTCATACCTAGCAAATAGATGCAACGTTATATTGTTGGCCCCATGCATGAAGAAAATACACAGGCATGCATAGTACATGTAAAGGAATATGTATATATTAGGTTTCAACTTTGAACCGGCGTGTATGGTGTCTATGTGTTGAGTAAGTGAATAAGTATATCCGTCGTCCTCTTGAGATCTGTGCAAATCATGTGTTTGTCTAATATATTAATACACTGGAAAAATGGAAATTGCCATTACCTCCATTTGCAAATAGACAGCTGGTTGTTTGGAACGTTGACAGGCAGGGGTGGTTGGTAGAGGTACCGTCCGTGGTGCCGGCGGGGAGAGCCCAAGGCCGACACCGGAACAGGTCTGTCTCTGGCTCCTTGTTTCAGGTCATACCGGTGGCGTGTCGGCCTCAATGCTGAGAATTCGAAAAAAACAGTAGTGCCGCCTCGCTTACCAGCACTAGGACCTAGGGTTTCCCCTAAACCTTGTGTTGGTCGCAGGATGCCAAGTAGTGAACCGGCCACGAGCAAGATTACGACCACCCTCACCTAAAAACAAATAGGCCAAAGAGTTGCATAAACTAGGGAGATAGAGGTGAAAACTAATTGCAAGTGAGATAACACTGCCATATATTGACAATGACAATGACATTGACGAAAAAAACTGCCAGGAGATCACCAAACTACTTAGCCTTGAAAAGACGAAAAATTAAAAGATTAATTGTCGGATTTACCATAGGAAATGAGACATATCTGATATAATTTCTACATATCAAACAAACGAAGAAACCCCACGAAATACCCGCCCACATACATGTACATAAATAAACAGCCCCGGAACTGTACTTACAGTGGAGTCCATGTCGTTGTGTTCCTTCTTCCAAAAGCTTATGTAGGGAAGTGGATAGTCACTGATGATAATACTATATAATTGCAATTGTGAGTAAATTACATCTTACCAGGTAACGTTTTGTTCCTCATAATCTTTCTGACACCGAGATTAGGCGAAAAAGTTCCCCTTTCCCCGGAAAGACCGATCTCTTGTGTGCGTGGGCCCAACAAATACGCCTGGGGTAACCTTTATTGCCTCCAATTCTGCGTATGTTCCAACTTCCTCGTAGTGAATTCAAAGAAGGGAAGAAAAAAAAGAGAGATATAATTACACAACTTTTTCAAAATCCTGTAATCAAACTGGTGTATATGTGTACATAGTAGAGTAGAGTTAGTGACACGCTTCTGATTCAATGACAAGTTCAGTTACATGTAACAGTTACATGTAGTTTTGCCATGTTGTCTCCAGTACTAGTATGCCTGTACCTGTACCTGTACGGCAAGCTGTGTCACGACAGATTTCACACCTGGACAAGCTTGACGCGTCAGATAATTACGAGGGTCGTTGATCTCTGGCATAAATCATGGCAATTCTAGGTGTTTGATTTTTGGGTTGGCCATGATGGCGACTCTTAGAGGCCATTACTGGTACATGTGTACATTTGTACTACTAAGTTGTAGTGTCGTATAATGATGGCCAATAGGCACTTGTACACATATTAATTGGGGCCCTCCAAGGATGTCCAAAAGTCACTGTGACAGCCCAGGGCTAATTTTTGTATTATTAATACCTTTGTTACAGCCTCCTGTTATACCAGCGAAGAAACAGACTCCACTACGCGAAGGTTTAACGTCACGCTATATAATATTATTATATGATTAAAAAACAATTCAACTCCACCCACTTTCAAATAGAACGGTCCAATAACCCAGGTGACCTTTGTACACACTTTTGCCACTTTTAAAAACACTACTCGTGACAACATGGACAAAGTCCACCACCAAAGTCCATGTACACCACGATTTACCCGGCCGTGGATAGGCACAAACAACTGTCTACCTTCAGTTAGATACTAAGTTTGCTTTTCGCAATTTCTTCACAAGTAACGACTGTTAAGTTAGGTGTCGAAGGTGAGTACATGTACATTGACAGTACTATTTTGGGAAGCATTGATTTCTAGACCTCTCCTCTGTATGTGAAGAATGATAATATAAAGATTTGACATATAACTGTTATTATATGGTTTTCCGTCCCCATTACCAGCGACCATGGCGGCTCCTGTTGTGTCCACGGCCAGCGGCAAGGTGCGAGGAACGGTGCAGTACACAAACGACCTGCCGGACAAACCTGTCTACACCTTCCTCGGCATCCCGTACGCAGCGCCCCCTGTCGGAGACCTGCGGTTCCGCGCGCCTCAGCCTGCTGTTCCGTGGGAAGGAGTCAGGGATGCTATTGAACTGGGACCCTACTGTCCACAAGGCACCGCCTTTCTTAACAACCTGCCAGTCAAACTACAGCATTACAACATGGACGAAGACTGTCTGACCCTGAACGTCGAAACACCAGCCATAGCAAAGGATGCTGGGCTGCCGGTAGATAGAAAACATTTTTGTCTACCGCCCAATGTCTCCTATTATATAAATCTCCTTTTACTTTAAAAAATCAAAAGAAAATACATACACTGAACCATTCATTATACAATAATTCAAATCATAAAGCTAATAATGAAAAAGAATTATCCATTATACAGTAATTCAAATCATAATACTGATAATGAAAATCATAATACTGATATTAAGAATCAAGAACAAAAAGTACCCCATTTGCCACGATGCTTCTGCAGATTTCCCCTTTTTGTAGCTATAGAATATTTTATTGTATGAAAATAGTTTACATAATTAAGAAAAGATTGAACTTTGTCATCTTGTCAAGATGTTGCGTTGTAATAAAACATTTAATGTTTATGTTTCGTGTAGGTGCTACTATGGATCCACGGCGGAGGACTGTATGTTGGTGCTGGATACTTCCTCCCCTACACCTCCCTCGCAGCCCATCAAGACGTGGTAGTCGTCACCTGTAACTACCGGCTGGGCGTGCTGGGGTTCTTCAGCACTGGGGACGAGATTGCCCCCGGGAATTTTGGCTTCCTGGACCAGGTTAATCATTTAGGTTACTAAATGTCGCACTGAAAAATCAAAACTCAAGATTGGTCTAAAGGTAGCACACTTCAATCGGATATCTGCTGACATTTTAGGATTCTTTATTCTTTATTCAAAACAGTGGTCAGCCTAGCAGCAGTGCATAGAAAATTATAGACCGCTGAATGGAAGTATATACTGTCCAACGTGTGATGTTTGTTCTTTCTATATATAGGTCCAGGCGATGGTTTGGGTCCAAGAGAACATCCGGAACTTTGGAGGAGATCCAGACCGGGTCACGATCTTCGGCGAGTCCGCTGGCGGTGCGAGTGTGTGCTACCACGTGGTGTCTCCTCTCAGCAAGGGTCTGTTCCAGCGGGCCATCTCTCAGAGCGGCGTCTGTCAGACGTGCGACACCTTCTCAAGGCCCCAGGAGAGGGCTGTGATGTTGGCGGAAGAACTTGGCTGCGACACACGGGATACGGCAAACATGTTGGCCGGTCTCAGGCAGAAGTCAGCAGATGAACTCAACTCCGGTACTCTGGAAGTGATGAAGAAGGTCGTCCGCCAGGGCGCACAGCTACCTTTCGCACCGGCTGTTGACGGGCATTTTCTTCCCGCTGAACCGGCAGTTATATTCGACATGGGCCGAGCTAATGCCGTGGACTACCTTCTGGGCGTGAATAACCACGAGTACGGACTCCTGCTTCCCATGACGATGTTTCCAGGCTATGGTCGGGGAATGACGGAGGACAAGTACCTCCTCAGGATGAAGAGAAGGATCGGCGCTCTTTATCCGGTAAGCATCGCATTTCTGATTGTTCCTAGCTTTTTATGTTTACCAAATATTGTTTTTGCTCAGTTTCTTCCTCTTCTTCTTCAAACAGTGACCTCTGACCTGGCCAATGACTTGATTTGTTGACACCTGTCACCATGGTAACTGGTGTTGAGTTACATAATGTTGCAATTTCATAGTAAGAGGAATACTGTCACCATATATGTGCATGTGTTTGAGTAAGAATTAATAGAGCAGACCATATGCAGAGATAAACATTATGCATTTGCTTTGCAAATGTTACTTTTCTAGTTTTAAAATAATTCAACTATGCATGTAACGTCCAATCAATAGCAAGAGATTTTCAATTCTAAAAAAAAAATAGACAAAACCTGACAAGACTTTATTGCCATTGCCAGGGTTCCAACCACGACAACATTGTATCAGAAATCAGCAGGCTGTACCGAGACTGTTACAGCGGGGACGACCCAATGTCGATACAGCACCAGTTCAGCCAGGCGTGCGGGGACAACGCCTTCCTGGCTCCGACGGTTTTCGTCGCAAACAAACACTCAGGTGAGCTACATTTTACCATTTGCCATGGAAACTGACAACAGACTTGAAATGAACTTTTTCCTGGTTTCGTATTGAACCCTGTCAGTGAACAGCCGTATCAATATGTACATGTACATCTAACAAAGGACGACGACGACGACGACATGTTCTTACCTATAATGTCTTCAGTTGACCACGATGTGCTAGAAAAATTCTGTACATTCGTATACAAATGTCTCAAGAAGACTCAAGAAGAAACTCGTGACTTGTAAAGCATAGATATAGATAGAACATAGCATGGTTTCCCTACTCCTATTTGTAGCTAATGTACTGCGTTTGGGGCATGAATATATTAACTTCATTGTCATTGTCATGAATTTCAGCTTCTGGACAGAAAGTCTACCTGTATGAGAACCACTACGTGCCCTCACGGTTTGCCGCTGGCCGGCCGGACTGGGTGGGGTGTGACCATGGTGACGAGTTGTTCGTCATGTCCGGCGTGGCCTTCTTGAATGTACCTTTGACCTCGGGACGTTTGCTGCGATTTTCTGAAAACGACAAGAAGGCCAGTTTGGATATGATGGCTTACTGGGCCAACTTCGCTCGAACTGGGTGAGCGCTTCTTTCAGCCTTGCACATTGTCATTCTCCAATAATCTCACATTATCTGAGTGTTTCTCTACAGTACGTTTTTATCTGTGTTTTCTCAGGAACCCATCTGACGGTACCGGCGGCCCAGCTGACAGCCCCACGGTACCAGAGTGGCCTCAGTACACACCTGACAACCCCGCCTACATGAAGCTGGATGTGACGTCATCTGCTGACATAGGGTTTCATCCTGACAGGATGGCCCTGTGGAATGACGTCATCCCCAAGCTAGCTGCTCCCTCCAAGTTGTAATTATTATGGCTTCCAACGGGCGTCAATGACCTAATGGCCCAGCGGTTATCCGCCCGACAGAAACCTCTCGCCTGAAAGCATCGGCCAAGCGCAAACTGAGTTTTGGCCACGGCGCTTCCAACTAGCCTATAAATGTAATTAAATTGGGGGATCACCCCGTCCGGAGTTCATGTCTATGTTGCATAAAATGATCACTTTGTTGGAATAATTTCACGGTCACTATGCAAGTATTGATTGGTGAAGTTTATAATCAGACGTAAACATTCTGGGCCAACATTTCATATATGTATAAGTCATAATCATATACGTCTATTCTTTTGCTATGTTAATTCGGTATGTCTGGTTGACCTTTTGAGCCCTTTTTTAGTGATGCCCGGTATGGAAGTCAATAAAAGAGATATATCCAATACTTTGAGACAGTGTCCAAAGTTTCTTGTAAGAGCCACGCGCCATTCTCAAAATCAAATGGGTCACAGCACCCCTCGTCACACAATGGGGTAACCCAATGAACGAGTGACCCGCTGTTCATAGTCCAGAGCATACACGTACATGCACATGGTCTATAACCTCCTTGGTCCTATATCAACAAGCAAATGTTTCAAGAGTCTTTGGTACTGGAGAGGATTACAGCTAGAGGTGTTCAAATGCATATTCTGGTCTTGTTTGCGATGTGGCTGTGTGCAGCATGTGAGTAAACATCTGGATTGGCCAGGTCGTTCATTAACCCTTTGGTAACATATCAACTCTTCGCCCCTACGGCAAATTATCAGAGTAATGTTTTTTTTTTATATTTCCCTCCATACCATGGTATGGATGAAATATATATTTTTAATACATCATCATCTCTTGTATTTACTTTTACCACATACTGAGTGTAGTTTTTGTCTTTTATTCCCTTCTGTTCTCCTCTGTTCAGCGTCTGGTTTCAGCGACGATGTCCCTCCTGTGGTGACCACGGCCAGCGGCAAGGTGCGAGGAACGGTGCAGTACACAAACGACCTGCCGGACAAACCTGTCTACACCTTCCTCGGCATCCCGTACGCAGCGCCCCCTGTCGGAGACCTGCGGTTCCGCGCCCCCCAGCCTGCCGCTCCGTGGGAAGGAGTCAGGGATGCTACTGAACTGGGACCATACTGTCCTCAAGACTATGCTATGTTAAAAGGGTTCCCCGCTCACTATCATCACGCCACTTTCGACGAAGACTGTCTGACGTTAAACATCGAAACGCCGTCACTTGGAAATAACGCAATTCTGCCGGTAAGAAGTAAAGAAACAGGACAGCCGGGCCGACATGGCAGAGAATAACTTTTTTTCGGCATGCACTACTAGTATTAACTACCCAACCTTTCAGGTTCTGGCTATGGTTAATGCTGTGTGTTGAAGTACTTGTTGATAGCAGTAACGTCATCTTTTTCTTGTCGTTAATAGCATTTGGGAAAAGGAGAGCTTCCAACTAAAGTACATAATTATTCATCTCAAGTTAACGTAATTGTACATGTCCCTGCAGGTTTTGCTGTGGATCCATGGAGGTGCGCTGTTGGCGGGTGCAGGCGGGATGTGGCCCTACGCGTCTCTGGCGGCCCATCAGGACGTGGTGGTCGTCACGATCAACTACCGCCTCGGTCCGCTAGGTTTCCTCAGCACTGGGGACGAGAACGCACCTGGCAACTTCGGCTTCCTGGACCAGGTCAGCTACATACTCTTTATTTGACTCTCTTGTTCTTCAATAACTGTAGCATATAACTATAATGTGCCCTAATTATAACGTTTCTGATTTTCGCAGGTCCAATCGATGCTTTGGGTCAAAGAGAACATAAGAAACTTCGGAGGGGATCCTGACCGGATTACGATTTTTGGCGAGTCCGCTGGTGGAGCGAGTGTGTGTTACCACGTTGTGTCTCCTCTCAGCAAGGGTCTGTTCCATCGTGCGATATCTCAGAGCAGCGTCTGTCAGACCCTTGATGTCAACCCCCAGCCACTGGAGAGAGGGGTGGCGTTGGCAGAAGACCTCGGCTGTGAGACCGGAGACACCGCGAGCATGGTGACCTGTCTCAGGCAGGCGTCGTCCGATGACCTCGTCGCCAGTCATCGGCGTCTACAGATGAACCTCCGGCTTCAGGGAGAGCTGAGCTCTTCCCGTTCCCGCCCGTGGTTGACGGGACGTACCTTCCGGGTCATCCCAATGATCTTCTACACAAGGGTGTAGTAAACGTGGCACAGTACCTTCTTGGAGCGAATGATCACGAGTACGGATTTCGTATCCCTTTGGGGACGATTCCAAACTTCGGTCAGGGAATGACAGAGGAGGAATTTCTCTTCCGTCTGGAGATGCTCGTGAGCAGGCTTTATCCTGTAAGTATCTGTCATCTTTCGCTTTCCCGATTTTCCTTCCACGCTACATGACACTATATGTCTCCTAAAACTCTTGTTAAATGTAAATTAGTACTCTAATATTCGAATGAAAGCTCATCTGTGTTGGTAGAATACATAGTTAAAGAGTTTGACTTGTTCCAACACAATAAGGGGAAACAGAACGGTCTCTCAAGACTAGATTTCTGGAACACAGGCGCCCCAGTTCAAACACATCGGAAGTGTCGCAACACATACACATCGAGTCCCCCGGACATACAGTTACATTGGACAAGGTGCGCATTCTAGATACGGAGCAGGATTACTTTGTGAGAGGCGTGAAGGAGGCAGTTTACATCAGGGCCCACCAACCCTCTCTGAACCGTGATGGTGGGAGATACCGTCTTCCCGCCACTTTTGATGCACTCCTGACGTCATCACGTTTCCGACTTCCGGAAAGTCAGCGATTGCATCACAAATCTGACGAAGGTTGACGGGATCAGCCGAAAATTTATGGTGAGTTCTCCTTATTGTGTTGGAACAAGTCAAACTCTTTAACTAGTACTCTAATAGGTAGAGTAGATTCTAACAAAATTCTTTTCTGTTACAGACTTCCAAGAAGAACGACATCGTGGCGGCCCTACGTGAAGAGTACCAGTACAACCCTGATGATTCCATGGCCATACAGAACCAGTTCACACATGTGTACGGAGACCAGTTATTGGTCGCTCCTACTGTTTTCGTTGCAAAGAAATTTGCTGGTGAGTTCCTTTTCGCATCGATGATACTGCGATTACGGTAGAAGACAGAAGGTTGCTGTAGTATGTACTGAATATTGTTTGTGTTTTACAGATCATGGCCAAGTCTACCTGTATGACAACCGGTACGTCTCATCAGTAGCCTCCGCTGGTCGGCCGGACTGGGTTGGATGTGACCATACGGACGAACTTGTGATCTTGGCCGGCCTGGCCTTTCTAAACCCTCCAGCTGTGTCTGGGGATGATCATCGCCCATTTTCCAACGAAGATAAAAAGACGAGTCTGTACATGATGGCATATTGGGCCAACTTTGCTCGAACTGGGTACGTGGGTAAATCACACAACGCTCGGATGAAATAATTGGTCTATATAGTATTAGCGAATTTCTCTCCTAAATCCTGCTGAATTGAGAGTTTGAGTGTAGTCTAGTGTAAAGATTAATCGTTTCCTGCGAGGTATATACACATTATTCTAGAAATATTTTTTAGCTCAGATTTGATTTTAAGTTTCAGGTAATACATTGTAGTCACGATGCAGGCAATAACTGCGTTACAGACGGTCCTTGGATTTTTCTTTAAGATTACTTATCTAGCACACTCTGTTTCAGGAACCCATCTGACGGTACCGGCGGCCCAGCTGACAGCCCCACGGTACCAGAGTGGCCCCAGTACACACCTGACAACCCCGCCTACATGAAGCTGGATGTGACGTCATCTGCTGACATAGGGCTGAAGACCCAGAAGATGAAACTGTGGAATGACGTCATTCCAAAGCTCGTATCATCATCTGTTAGGGATGAATTGTAGTTTATTGACTTAATATTAATAAGCGCATTGGTTATTGTATGTGCCTAAACTATACAGTTGTATGTCTTATACACAGATTTGTTGATTTTTTCTGCCATACTGTTAACTACAATGACTCTAACAACAGACAAGAGGAAACCGTATCAGCCTCTTCCAGCGAACCTGGAAATGAACCAAAAATCCTTCTTTTGTACGCTTGTATGAATTTTTGACGTTTTGATGAAAAAGTAGTTCAAAAACATAATCCGCATCCGTCCGTGCATTTTTACGTGCCACCAAATAGACGTCGACCCTAACGTCGACTCCAGTGAATGCCCTTTGACTCACATGCCATATCAAGTTTACCGTATCCATTAGCTATCCAAACACAGTCATATTAGCTTTCACCGCAGATTTACTCAGTCGATCAACTGGATGTTTTGGTTGAAAGCTTTGCAAATATGTTTTCCGCATACTAATTTTTGAATCACTAGACAGATTAGGCTCAGGGGCACGTTACACCTGATAATTGCCCTTTAACCTTTGACCGCAATTCTTCAGTCGGCGTCGCGGAAGTTTCCTTGACGACTAGGGCTAGTAACGACCGTTCCGCGTCCCCTTATACATTAATAGGAAAGAGCACTGTAGCTACTGTCTAGTACTGATGAACCTCACGACTAAGGGCAGTCCCTGTCATACCACAGAGATGCTCTGTACAGCATTGTTACTCTTGGGTGCCGTAAGTAAGTATTGTTATTGTTAGCGTATGCATGGGAGGGGGCGCAGATATAGTGAACACCTTTTACCTAGCCCCATCCGCATGTGTATACTGCACTCGAAAGAGAGGAACAACTGTAAAATTATGAACATAGTATTTACTTAAAAGCCCGAAATCATAACAGCTCTTAGAGCTGCAAGTTGTACTTGCGACGTAATTCTAATAAATCAATAACACTAATGGAATGTAGTATCTTTCCCATTTATTCAATTGCCATAAATTTCTGTCAATGTGATGTTGTAAAAGAAATTTTGAATATTTTCATATGTCTCATGGGTATTGTGCTTCACAAGTGTTTGGAACTTCAGTTACAAAACATCCGTTTATAATACTAGTATACCCTAATGTCTATGCCGCAAACTCCAGCTTCACTTCTCGCTGACGATGTCCCTCCTGTGGTGACCACGGCCAGCGGCAAGGTGCGAGGAACGGTGCAGTACACAAACGACCTGCCGGACAAACCTGTCTACACCTTCCTCGGCATCCCGTACGCAGCGCCCCCTGTCGGAGACATGCGGTTCCGCGCCCCTCTGCCTGCCGCTCCGTGGCAAGGAGTCAGGGATGCTACTGAACTAGGCCCCTTTTGTCCACAGGACGACGCCATTTTCAGCATCTTCCCCGTACAGATGGAACAGAAAAGCTTCAGTGAAGACTGCCTGACACTTAATGTGGAGACACCCACCCTGGAAAGAGATGCAGGGTTACCGGTATGTTTACTGTATGGTATATTGTAAATATGTCTCTGAAACTTTAGTCTTTTTACATCCCAGGTATACCTAAAGTCTAAATCTTGAATTTCAATCGCATCTTTAGGTACTGATATGGCTTCACGGTGGCGCACTGATCCTCGGAGCCGGGTGGATCATGCCGCATGCCTCCCTGGCTGCTCACCAGGATGCCGTGGTCGTCTCCATCAACTACCGACTCGGTGTACATGGGTTCCTCAGCACTGGGGACGAGAATGCTCCTGGAAACTTCGGCTTTCTCGATCAGGTTAGTCCCGTTCGACATTTTTTTAGTGAAATCATTAAATGGGAAACATGATCAGCAGTACAGACCACCGTTTTTCCATGTTAAGTCACTTTGTTCTCATTTCAAGGTCCAGGCGATGGTTTGGGTCCAAGAAAACATCGCAAACTTTGGAGGAGATCCAGACCGGGTCACGATCTTCGGCCAGTCTGCCGGCGGGGCGAGTGTGTGCTACCACGTGGTGTCTCCTCTCAGCAAGGGTCTGTTCCAGCGGGCCATCTCTCAGAGCGGCGGCTGTCAGGCGGTAGAAGTCATCCCCAAGCCGCTGCCCAGAGCGGCGATGCTGGCGGAAGTGCTCGGCTGTGACACGAAGGACACAGCGAGCATGGTGACCTGTCTCAGGAAAAAGTCGTCTGATGACCTGATTACCGGTCACCAGGCTGTGATGCAGAAACTCAACTTTGAAGAAGTGCCTTTCCCACCTGTAGTGGACACGACGTTCCTTCCGTCTCATCCTAACGACGTGTTTGACCAAGGACGGACAAACCCTGTGGACTATCTCCTGGGTGTGAACAACCACGAATACGGGTACGTGGTTCCGCTCGGAGTCGTGCCAAACTATGGGCAGGGAATGACGAAGGACACCGCCCTCTCCACTCTAAAGAGAACCTTGGAGAGAGCTTACCCGGTAGGTTAACATGCTGTGTCTTGAATCGCGTCAGTGTTCTCTCAAACTTGCAACATTGTGTCAAATAAATTTCTTCACGTCAAAATATCCTTTTTGAATTTACAGAGCTCGTATCACGATGACATGCTCGCCGCTGTACGCAAAGTGTACTTTGACAACGACAAGGCAGACGACCCCATGGTCATCCAGCACCAGTTCAGCCTGGCAGCCGGAGACCAGCTCTTCGTGTCGCCTACTGTACTAATCGCGAACAAACATGCGGGTAAGTCCATGTATCAAGATTAGATATGGTCACAAATGGAATTTTCGCTGACACATCATTGACGGTACGTTATTGTTCCAGCTTCAGGTCGGAATGTTTACCTGTATGAGAACCACTACGTGCCCTCACGGCAGTCCACCGCCCGGCCGGACTGGGTAGGGTGCGACCACACAGACGACTTGTACATCATGCCTGGAGTGGCCTTCTTAGACATACGGACGTCTGACGGGGAACTCATGGCCTTTAACTCGGACGACAGGAGGACAAGTCTGGACATGATGGCTTACTGGGCTAACTTTGCTCGAACCGGGTAACGATGATCAACTCATTTCATCCTCTTAAAGATTGTATTACGATGACGAGTGGTTTTTATCTGATTTTGTTGGAATTTTTTATGCTATACATTACAATCGCACTAGTCTTTGCCCGCTCTCTCTGTATATAACATTTTATGATTTTTGTCGGTGTCTCAGGAACCCATCTGACCGTACCGGCGGCCCAGCTGACAGCCCCACGGTACCAGAGTGGCCCCAGTACACACCTGACAACCCCGCCTACATGAAGCTGGATGTGACGTCATCTGCTGACGTAGGGTTTCATCCTGACAGGATGGCCCTGTGGAATGACGTCATCCCCAAGCTCGCTGCAGCATCTGGTAGAGACGAGTTATAATTGCTATTTATATATACAGAAAAAGACATCATGATATAGGAGGAATCATGTCTTGCTAAAGACATTGTGAAACTTTATATAGATATCTCTGTAGATGAAGTTGAAACTATATGTAGATAAATGTTGAAACTGTGGTTTATCCAACAGGATACCCTTCAAATTTGGAAAAATACTTTCAGAATTCAAATGGAGCAGATTATTTCTTTTATCCTTGGAAAATATTTCATAAGTGAGCTAGAGACTATCGTGTGGTGTTAAGAGAGGAAAGACAATAGAACTCTTAGTCGTTGTACTATATAATAATTATCAAATGAACAGTTTGTACTACAGTTCGTCTCGGTCACCAAGCCTGGCTAACTCAGGTATAACTTTGTTCCAAAACGTCACTCTGTCAGACTTCAGGCCCACGTCAACAGACGGCGCCAGGTCCAGGTTCATGTAAGCTGGGTGGTCTGTGGTGTAGACAGGCCACTCTGGGGATGTCTGGTCGGTAGGGTTCCTGGGGTAACGAAAAAATTCATTAATCTACAACACAAAGACAAATTTGTACATCGCTTCACATTTAACTAGAAAGGTAACGTTCGCAAAGCAAATGCACAATGTTTGCCTTTGCATATGGTCTGCTCTGTTCATTCCTACTCAAACACATCCATATACATATGGTCAGACAGGAGTCTAAATCCGTCCTTTCTTTCTTTCTTTCTTTATTGGCAATGACAACAGGTCAAGACACAGGTTATCAAGGCAGTGTAAACTGGTATTAGATAACCCACATGTACAGACGTGCAGACAAACATGAAATAAGAAATCTACTATAAATACAAGACCTGAAATAAAGATAACATGTTAACTGGTTACAAGGTACAATACTATAATACATAATATAAGAACATCAAGACATTCCTAACTAGCAGCAATATGTGCAAAGAGTGTGGATACTAAATTGGGATGAATGGAAGGCTTTGGGTAAAAGTTTAAATATAACTCCGTCCTACTATAAAATTGCAACATTATGTAACCCAACACTAGTTACCATGGTGATAGACTGGTTCAAGTCATTGACCGTATTGGTTTGGAGAAGAAGAAGAGGAAACAGAGCAAAAACAATATGTTTTCTTTCAGTAAACATAATTATAAAGGATCTTCAACACTTATGATAGAATAGATCTTTTGATAAAAATTCCAATACCCGGTTCTGGCAAAGTTGGCCCACATTTCCATCATCTTTAGGCTCATCTGTTTGTCTGCGGCAGTGAAGGTTATGTTGTCGCCGCTGGTGAGTTGGATGTCGGTGAAGGGCGCGCCCACCACCATCCACCAGTCGTCCGTGTGGTCACACCCCACCCAGCCCGGCCGTGCAACGCGCAGGAAACTCGGCACGTAGTGGTTCTCGTAGAGATAAACTTTCCCACCGGCAGCTAGAATAGCAGTTAAAGACAAATGTGGGAAAAGCGTTGACCAGCGTCAATATCTTCGAAAACGAACATTGGATTCTGCTAGCATGCACCTGTTTTCATCACCACAACATCATTGACATTGTCACAATGCCAGTCTTCAAATTGCAAGGTAACAGGAAAAAGAAACTAGAAGGATATTGAGCATTTGCATAATGTTTACCTTCGCATATGCTTTGTTAATTCTTACTCAAACACATTCATATATATGGTTTCATCCAACCCTAGTTCCCATAGTGACAAGACGTCTGGTTCAGGTCATTGTCCTTATTTGTTTGGAGAAGAAGAAGAAGAGGAAACAGGGCAAAAACAATATGTTTCCTTCGGTAAACATAACCAGACTGACCTGTGTGCCCATCTGCAGCGCGCACTGTGGGCGCTACAAACATCAGGTCTCCCATCAGCTGGCTGTACTGGTACTGTATGGCCATGATGTCGTCAGGGTTGGCCTGGTCACGGTACTTCTCTTCTATGGCCGCCAGAATGGCTTGTCCCGACCCCTACATATACAATGAAAAGAAAAATAACATGCCCATGTCTTTTTTATATTTGCCCAAGAAATGACAAAGAGTAGAATCGCATGAAGCATGAATCCGTGTAATCGCATGAAGCAATGAACATAAAAGCATCAAATCTGTTGTTTGGTAACATTCACGTTGTCTGGCCAATTTTGTATGCGCACAATACCATCATACCTTGTAGTCAACGTACTCCGGTAGTCCCAACTTCAGCAGAGCGGTGCACAGTTCGTGTGTCATCCCCTTGCCGAAGTTCGGCAGGTGAGATGCTCTCGGCAGGATGAACCCGTACTCATGATCGTTTACTCCCATCAAATAATCCACGGGGCTGACCTGGCGTTTCTTCAGCAGATATTCGGGCGTAGACGTCAAGAAATAACCATCAACCACGGGCCCGAACGGTTTTAGATTAGAACCAAACAGACTATTTTGAAATAAGTCGTAACCGGCATACAGCTGCTCCACTGGTCTATCCCTCAGACAGTTCACGAGGACGGAGGTGTCTTCTCCGTCACACCCCAGTTCTTCAGCCTGTACCTTGGTTGTCCGGAGCGGGTTGAGTTGGACAGGGTTCGTCCCGAAGACACCGCTCTGTGAAATGGCTCTCCTGAACAGCCCTCGGCTGAGTGGTGAAACGACGTGGTAGGAGACGCTGTAGCCACCGGCGGACTCTCCGAAGACGGTGATCCGATCCGGGTCACCTCCGAAGTTCTGGATGTTTGCTTTCACCCACCTTATAGCTAGGACCTGGAACAATACAGAAGTGTGTTGGTATTGCACGGCTATGTCTCGTGATGTAACACAGAGCTATATATGGATAGTACATGTACTAATTCGTACACTGATCACAGAAGGCATATCAGCCTGAGGTGTATATAATTTTCTTCTCGTGCCTTCCTAAATACTTACCAAATATGCATACGTGTATTAACAACATGGTGCCGAACCTGGTCCAGGAAGCCGAAGTTGCCAGGAGCGTTCTCGTCCCTGGTACTGAGGAAACCCAGCAGCCCGAGGCGGTAGTTGAAGGACACCACGACAACGTCTTGGTGGGCGGCGAGAGGCGCGAAGGGCAGCAGGTAACCTCCGCCCGTCTCCAGGCTCCCGCCGTGGATCCATACTAGTACCTGGGAAAGGAGAGGCACACAAGGTGAGCGTTAACCTATGGTTAGACAGTGATGTTGTATTGTGGAATCTTCATAAAAGATAAGTTTGATAACTTATTGACCGGATTTACTGAGTTTGGCACAAATAACTATTACAACACACTGGCAAACCGCCATCGGCGTTTGTTGTTGGAGTTTCGACATTCAGCGTGAGGCAGTCTTCGCTCGTCGTAGTCTGTAAAAGCCGGAAGGGTATCGTGTGTTGCAGATCCAGGGGCTGCGGACAGAAAGGCCCCGGCTTCGTTGCGTCTATCACTCCCTCCCACGGAGTGACGGGTTCGGGCGCGCGGAACCGCAGGTCTCCGACAGGGGGCGCTGCGTACGGGATGCCGAGGAAGGTGTAGACAGGTTTGTCCGGCAGGTCGTTTGTGTACTGCACCGTTCCTCGCACCTTGCCGCTGGCCGTGGGTACAACAGGGGAACCATCTTGAGAAGTCGCTAAACCTGTTGTTTGAGGAAGTTAGATATTCGGGACAATGGATTACCACTTTACTGTAAAACAACAACAACAACAACAACTTGCGACTGAAAGTCATCGAAAGCACCCATCCACTACATATTTTACACAACAATCTAGCATGAGATTGTTTCTTCCCACCTCTCGAGCTCGGATCACCCATTTGAGTGGAAAATTCTGGAAATTCAAAGAGTGCCTAAATCGGCTGTGTCGATAAGAAGTGTCACGTGCGTTACACACCATGTTCGCACGCACGATATCATGCCTGTCCAGGGCTCGGGGCCGTGTAGTGATCACTATAAAAAATCCGCCTTGCATACACTCACCTAATAAGATGGACAGCCACACGAGAATAACGTCAGAACGGGCCATCTTTTACAAGAAACTGATCCAGCGCTGTACTTGGTCGAATCTCTGCAAACCACGTTTGCTCAAAACAATGCAGCTTGCTTCAGGTTAAAGGTTAAGCAAACGGAGCAAACAAACAAAGCGGATGGACTTTAACACTTCACCGACAGGTCTTATCATCCCGACAATAGATGTGGTCGGCAGGCTTCTCCGATGGTGATAAGGATTGGTACTACAGATTAATAGGGTCTGGTAGGGTTTATAATTCTTAATTGATGCTTCTGGATGTAGATTTAACCTTTGTTGACGTCAAAGACGACATTAACTGTCTTTTGACCCATTGTTCTATTCTAATTCTATTCTAGTCATGATTGGTATCAGAAAATCAGCTACCACCTACTGCCTTTTGCTATTGGCATTGGACCCCATTGTCTAGAAATGGAACTACGTAGATTATGAATTTGTGAACAGATGGCGCGTTCAGCACCAAGGACAGAGTGCACTAACTGCGCGTGGACTGTGTTAAATGATATATAGACGCGTTCGTTGTTCATAAACGAACGGTACTGGTCGTAGACGCAACTTTCTGTTTGGATGCCTTATCGTCGAGTACATGCATTATGCAACTTTTAATTTCCAATGGCCGGAGTTTTTTTGTTATGGCGGACTGTTACTGTCTATCTCTTTCACTGTCGATCGGTGGCGTATCTCCAGTTGGATTCGAGTACGGGGCTGTGCCTCCTCCTCAAGTGCAGCAATGGAAAGCTTATGGCATGAGATTACGTTATTTGCGGTACAAATCATCGAAAGCCTGACTCACTGTTTGTTGTAATCCGCGGTGCGAACTGTTGCAACAGCCCAAATACAACTTCGACGTGCAGTCTTTCTCTGCAATGGTGTTTCTAGACCATTTTAAATGTGCTCAAAGTAGAAAGCTAAGGGTACCAAACGCAACTTAAAATCCGTGTCTTCTAGCTGTACTGTAATATATGTAGCAAATTATGATGAAAAAATACGCCAACAAAAACATTTCAATAATTATATTTCTTTGCATGTTTGCTCGTACAAGTTAATATCACTTTTATAAGTTTTACTCCCCTGGCACAATCTGTTACAATTTAACATGCTTTCTGTATTTATCCAATGGTAGTTAGAATTACATTACAAAACACAAGTTAATGTATACACACGTATGCACAAGTTGATATTAATGTAACCAGCACATCTTGTACATTAAAATATAAAGCACTAATAAAGCACAATATCCCACAGGCTGACACTGCTTAGCACCAATCAAAATCTTCCACACATTATCAAAAGTAAAAAATAGTAATTTGTAAAAAAAAAATTGAAAAATTGTACAAATTTACATTCGAAGCATTTCATGTGGTTCTCCCAACCAATACTTGAGCACAGTCCTAATACAGTTACCACTGTAAGTAATATCAGTGTCTGTCCCAAAGCCAACACGTTACATACTGCTACATGTTAGCTGTCACACACTATAAAAATGTAAAATTACCTTGTGAGATACTGAGATAAAGGTTATTTTCCTGAGGCAAAGCTGTAGCAGACTGGCTAATAGAACATTTACAAGGCAGTCACATGGTGACCAAAATGACACATCGCCTTTAGATCTTATCTTTATCAGACAGAAAGGAACTGCACATGGAGAAATGTTATGCACAGACTGAGTGCAACGTGTGTTGTAGCATTCCTGTGCAGTGCATTTGTACATTATAGAGATATTTCTCCTTACATTTCTTTTGAAATGTAGTATAATAATATTTGAAATCAGAATCATACATTAAACTCTAATTTCTTAGCACCAGTGTAGATTCAAGTATTATTGTTGCTAATAAGTAATATTTCATTAGCTGTATAATATTCAACATAACAAAGCACCATTGAAAAATCCCCCATCATAACACTCATTTCATTTGATGATTAACTGGTACACAGAGAGTCAAACTGATCTCCATGCATTTCACATGTCAATCACACATGATAAGCATCACAATCTCTTTCAAATAAGGCACTACATTAGAATGGTAGTATGATAATTTCAACATGTTACAACTTACATATCATATTCACGTTATTCTGACATTATAAAAATGCACAGCCCAGCTGATGGTCAGCAGGGAGTATGGTTTGACTGAGCATGGAGCAGTATGTTAACTTGACCAAGATAGATTGGTTTGAACTCGATACAAAACGCATGACTAAAAACAGGTTCTGGTCAGACAAACATGACTGTGTCTCAAATCAGTCCCATGGATAGTTATAGAACTCTTGTCTCAATATGCCCTAGTATGCCAGTACAATGATGGTACTTTCAAAGTAACACAATATGGTCACTGCAGATACATGTATACCAATAGAAAACATTTTGAGTTTAATACATGCAGTTTTTTCTAAAGGTGAGTTCCCACAGTTATTGCGTACCAAAAGTGCTGAGATCTGGAAGACCAATCATAAGTTAAAGCACCGGGCAAATTCACAGGAAGACAAACTGACAGCATAGCATTTAGTAATTAAAAACACTTGTAGGATTCACTACATAATTGTCCCTGAAGCTCCAACTGATACAATTTTTTGTTACATTTGATCTGTCCCCTTAGGCCTGTTTATTACACAAAAAAATGGAAGTCATAACACATGCAGAGACTTCTATATCTACTATGATACATCTACATGAGGCAGACAGTGGTAGTCCCTGTCCCATATCTCCGTGTGCGCATGGGTGACACCCTCCTCCACCTGTCCACACGAGGCTCGTACATTTCAACATCGTTAACGTTCCGCAAACCGTTGAAGCCCCCGACGGCGTAGATGCAGCCGTTGAGTATGGTGGCCCCGTGACTACTCCGCTTGGTCAGGACAGGACTGACGTACATCCAGCGGTTGATTCGCGGATCGTACCTCTCTACCGTGCTGTGCCACAGCCCGTTGTAGCCACTGATGGCGTATATACAGCCATCGAGCGCTGCGATGGAGACATAGGAGCGGCACTCGTTCATGGGACAGATGCTGGTCCATGTGTTGAGGTTAGGATCATACCGCTCTGTTGTGTTGAGGTACTGGTTCAGTCTCCCTGATGTTTCACTTCCTGCATGGAAAGGAACAGTATTAGTACTAGCTTTGACATTAGCAGTAACATCATTAGAAGATTGAACAATAAGATCAAGGACAGGTCTATTTTGATGCAAAGTAAGGAAACCATAAAGCATAGGAAGTGGAGCTTATACCTAATGATTTTTTTGCTCACAGACAATAGACAAGTTGAGGATATATTATTTGAATAGAATTAGCTTTGAATGTACAAATGTACATAAATTGTTAGTTCAACTATTTGAAAGTTTACAAGTACTAGCAAAAATAGTTGGGTAATTTAAGTCTCTGGATTATAGTTATCTTTACTGCTAAATCAGTCAATTTGTATTTGCATGTGGCAATGCAAAATGCAGCACATTTCCAGCCAAACTCTTGTGTCCCAATGTTGTGCGTTACCTGAGCCTCCTACAGCATACAGCATGCCCCCTAACTCAGCCACGCCGAGGAAACATCTGCGACTCCTCATGGAGGAGACCGTGCTCCAGGCCTGGTTCTGGGGACAGAACATCTCCACTGTGCTGAGGTAGCTGGAAAAATATCAGACAATGTCAGTAGGAAAGGTGTCATAATTCAGTAGAAAAGTAATTGTACAGCAACATCTCTGATGGCTGAAATAATTATACTTTTTCAAGAATGTTGTGCAGAAGACTTGGATACAAAATTCAACATAAATTTAATGCCTCCTGCCCTGGAGAGTTTTCTGTCACCATAGTAAAATAGATAAAAACTAGAAAGGTAACATGCAAAGCAAATGCATATTAATGTTTACCTTTAATGGTCTTCTCTGTTAATTCTTGGTCATGATATATATGGTGACATGGTCTAAATCCCTCCTGCTATAAAATTGCAACATTATGTAACCCTACACCAGTGACCATGATGACAGACAGTCTGGTTCAGGTCATTGACCAGGCCAGTGTTTGAAACAGAAGAAGAAGAAGCAGAGCAAAAACAATATGTTTTCCTTCGATAAACATAATTTAGAGCAGGATTGAGCTGAGGTTACCTGGTTTGGTCCCTGCCACCCACTGCTAACAGCCTGCCGCCCAGGAAGGCGGTGCCCACGCCATGCCGCGGTGTCGTCATGTCCGGGAAACTGTCCCACTCGTTCTGGAGGTAGTCGTACACTTCCACTGTCCGCAGGGGATGGGAACAGTTACTGCCACCTGCAGGAGTTAAAGTACACCATTGGTCTGTGTTAAAACATCAAATGTCTCACTTAGGATGACAAGATTACGTAAGATCGTGACATTGCAGCATGCTTGAGAACATTACATGATCTCAGAAACCAACCATTCAGTTCAAAGAGCTGTATGCAATTTCCCATTCCATTTTATAGTTACACTGAATACCCCCCGCCCTCACTTTACACTCAATTCAAATCTCAGTATTCCTTCTTCTATACACGGTATAACTTTTTACTATTACATGTAATACAAATATGTAGGTAAACATTCTGTGTACAATGACATCCAAGAAGACAAATTTAAAAGTTCTTATTCTGGAATTTGCACCCACCGATGATGTAGATGTACTTGTCCTCTGCCACTAGCCCCATGCCGGTGCGAGGAGTACTGAGCCCCTTACACTGCTGACCCTCACACCTGGCCTGTGGCAGGCTGTAGGTCCAGTTGTCCTCTCTGGGGTCGTAGAATTCTAAACTGCTCAACGTTACACCATCTGACTCTCCCCCAGCAGCTACTATTACCTGTGTGTGTGAATTGTAAGATTATTAACTTTATATATTGCAGATGAAATAAGGAACGTATCTATGTAACAATTTTTTAATGAACAATTGTTAGACATAGTCGGGTTGAAATATTTTGATTAGAGTGATTCGTATTGTTGCCAAGAAATGAAGTCTTAAAAAAAGCTTACATAAGTAGTAGGTGAACTTGATACATATCAAAATATCAAGTACAAGTTTGAATCAGTTAGAAAACAATTATGGAACCCAAAACAGGGTAGATGTAGCAGTGGTGGCATTTTGCTACTCCTGCACACATAGAAATAACTCCCCAGATAATACTTACCTCTGTGACACTCCATCTTCTACTGGGGAAGCTGTCATCAGCATGGCTAGAATATTTCACCTGCAGTTTTGTCTCCAACTGCTCGGCAACAACTTTGTAACACTCAATACTATTGGTCACCACTGAGTTCTCCTTGACTTGTTCGATCAGGAAATTTGCGGACAAGAGAGGGAACCGAATGCTACAAAACAGTGACTTGGCCGCATATAACCTGTTTTCCATGTCGTAGCTTAGCCACGATGTAACGGCTTGGAAGACTGTTTCTTCGTCACCAACTCCAAGGAAATCACTTGTTACAAGATTGTTCAAGTCCTGGTAGTCCATCAGAAGGAACTCCTCTTCTTGGATGACTTCTGAGAAGTGTTGGTGAAGGTACTTGTTGGCCTCGTTCCTGAGTTGGTTACAGTTGTGGAGGTCGGCGAACTGTCGGATCCCCAGGCAGTTACAGGGCGCCAGCTGTTTCTCCAGAAACTGACAACAGGCGGCGCAAACCCCTGTCATCTGGAGGAGAGTGGCGCAGGAGAGCAAGGCCTGGACATTGTTTTCATCAACCTGTTACAAGAAATCCAGATTGTTTAATGATGAGCTTCTCAATGTTTGTCAAAAGTGCTATGAAAGAGTCAGATCGATGTCACTAAGACATGATAATGTCCTCTATGTGAGACTGATGTAGCATTGTAGATTAATGTTTTATACAACAGCCACTAGCGGCACAATAATTAGAGTGGTACGTATGTCTACAGTGTTACATGCAGTAATGTTTTCATCAGACTATACTGGCTCTAGCTGTACGTTGTTACCCACCGTCATTGTTGCTGTGTAGATGAAGGTGATGAGTTGGTCCAGGGCAGCACCATCCACCTCCCTCATGGTCACCTGATGCTGGGTGCTCTCACACAACTGGCTGGTGAACATGGCTCTAAGAACAATATACAAAAGTTATCAGACACTACTGTGACCTAATGTCATACTGGTATTTCAAATTTATCCCTAAAATGTACTACCAAATACATTGCTTGCTTGCTTGCTTTCTATAATGAAGAAAATTATGTACTTCATATTTCCCTGACATAATTCATAAGCTTTATTAGTCTTATAAGCTTTATTAGTCTTATCTATTTATTCTTATTTATTAAGACGATTGTTTCTATATACAATAAAAAAAACTAGAAGAAATCAAAAAGTATTCGATTTCTGACTTGACGAAATAAACTAAATGGAGACTGTGAAGAAGTAATTTTCCCTGTAAAACTGTGTCAGCCTCAGGCTATTCCAAACCTGTTTTTCAACATGATCACTTCATGAATTAGCTTATGCATAGACTGGCTCTTTGTTCCTTCACTCAGAGTACTAGTACCAAAGAAGTATCAGGGGACAACATTATAACAGCTGACTGCATCTTTTGACACCCTCTGAGTTGAACACAATGGTCTGGATTTGAATACTTACCAGTAAATCTTACATCATGACACAGAATCATTGCCGAATGGAAAAAAGAAAAAAAGAAAGAAAACTCACTTGAAGTAAGGGCTGCTTGCTGCCAGCACAGCCCTGTGAGCAGGAATCTCAGAGGAGCCTACTTGGATGATGACATCACAGAGTTCCCTGGACTTCCTGAACTCTTGCAGGGTTTGGAGCACTGTGCAGGGCTGGCAGCCATCTTGGTACAGCAGGGAGGGGGTCATCTTGCTGTCAAGGAATTACAAAAATAGATACATGAAACGAAAAGCTTTGTGATATTGACTTTTATGGACTTCATGAATTTTCATCCGTTTCAAAAAAAAAATTTTCAACCATACTGTAAATCATAGAAAATGAGCGAATATATGTCGTATGTTGCAAAAAAAAGTATTGGAAAATGATACTAATGTCATAGAATGCCAAAATCAATTCTGGAAAAGAAGAAAATGTGAAGAAATGAAAATGAACCATGTAGATTTCATATTGAAGCGAACTTTTTTTGCCAAACTTTTTTTTTTATTGGCACACTTGCATCAGTTTTGGGGTTCCCAGAGGACGTCATCCATATAATCAAATTAACATGGCCATATAAAGACACTTAGAATGTCAAACAGGTTAACCAACCTTACAAATTACTGGTAAAATAGCAGACAACCAGAGTCTTCATGATCGGATGTACTAGTAAAAAGCCAGTACGAGCATGTTACATAATCTCTGGATTACCTAGCCTGGTTACCAGACCTATTATAGCTCCCGAGTCCTACATTCTCTCCACAAATAGAGGAATATTTGCGGAGAGGATGTAGGACTCGAGAGCTATAACAGGTCTGGTAACCAGGCTAGGATTACATGCCTCAGGAAAAATAAACCACATTATGCCCCAGGCAGGTCATGTTATGCAAGTCGAACATCAATCAAGTCAAATGTCATGGAAACATGGTGAGGTGATTGGCCTTATAACCTATACATCCTGCCAATTAGATGACCTCACGACAGGTTAAAAGCTAAATTGGTTTGCAATGATCACCAAAACTCATGCATTAAAACACTAGAATTTAATGTTGCTGAAGTTTGTCTTTCTACATATATAATTATATATAGTTCAGTTGTGAGAAGTGCAAGATACACAGTATTAAATGCCATGCCAACTGAGTTTCTCACTCACAAAAAGAACATGTTTTAAACACTAAATTTTCAATCGATGGAAATATCTGAACCATTAATAACCCTGTCGACAAAACTATAAATATGTTGACCCAAATACCACATGCCCTTGCAAAGAAAAAATGTCTGAGAGTAAATAAACATGCTAGGAGGGACACAGGGACCTCGTCCATCAATGACCAAATACATGAGAAAAAGATTTTGATGTTTTGGTCCTTGATCTGGCCTTGTGAAACTAACCTTCTCTGCCCTGAAAGACAAGAATCATTAATATTGAAGATTCTCTGCAGGTTAAAAATGAGACGGAATAGCTTTACTAATATTATGAGCATGTTAATACTGAATGAGAAACAAGAGATATGCATGAGATATCCCCCTCCCATATCCATTATCAGACAGCAAAGTCTCAGTAAACCCCTAGCCCTGCCTCGTTTTCTGCATTCCCAAATACAACTACTCTTACTCCAAAGAGGGGATAAACCAGCTTACCTCTTTGACTTTGAGGACATAATGCCTGTGCTCAGTAGCTATCCTTGGGTTTTCAAAATGACATACAGCTAAGAGTCACCACAGTGACAAATGGTCCTGAATCCCTGCCCAGAAACAGTGAGGGAAGCAGGCTTCCTGCTGAGATTTATCTGTTGTTCTGCCTACTGGAGGAGCAGGCTTGTCAATCACTGTGGGATATCTGGGTCAGTCCTCATCACTCACTAATCATTAGGGCTATACCACTGGGAGCCACAGAGGGGATGTAAAAGTTTTTTCTACCAATTTTGATGACAAATAATTAAAAGAGATCTGATGCCATTTCGTGCGCAATCAAGAAATATCCCTCACTTCCCAATAAAAGGCCAATCAATGATGTGACATACATGTGCACACCTTCTATATAGGGTGCAACCAAAATAGATGCTTACCAATGTGACCAGTAATAAGATCTGGATTAAATCACTACAAGCCTAATTGACAACTGATGCTGTTGCCATTAAATATTAATCCCCCTGATAATCACTGTCAAAAAGCACTTAGTCCTTCTTTTCCATCATCATCACAGTACCATACTTCATACTTTTTACTTATGGAAAATTGTTTATATCTAAGATGAAACATTTCATAAAAGGGGCCCTTTTTCTAAGATAAGACATGTTTGATTTCCTCTTTGTTGTTTCTTGACACAGGTGCCCTGAGTTGATAAAGGCGTGATCTGTGAGGACCAGTTTAGCCCTCAGGGCCTGAATTCTCTAAGGCATTAGCAGTCTTGTTGCAAGTCATGTTCTCCTGGATTGACACATTATTGTTCATTATATCCCTTACTTCACATTTTCATCAGAAACATTAAGAAAGAGAACAAAGGACAAAGTATTGCATGCATGTAACAATGACTGCAGTAAATACACCATGTGCAGTTGCTTCTTCAAAAGGCACATTTTAGCTAAAGAGAAAAATAGCACGAGTAATTTCTTACCTTGTCTGTAGTGTCTGTTAAATGCCAGTAAGAGGAGGTGTGCCGCTGTGTGCCTGTCGCCTGTCGCAGTGTGCCTGTCGCCGCCTGTTGCTGTGGCCTCTGTCAATACAATACCACCTGGGGAATACACATGTCAAACATCTATTCACCTGCAGGCTGCTGTACTTTGATCAAATGTATGTATGTGGTCTTCTGTCTGTGACATTCTGGAACAGTGTGACATTAAGGCCATCTGATGCAGTCTCAAAGAGTCAAAGTAGCAAAATAGAAAAAAATATTCTGGATGAGGAAATCTGTCTGATATTGATTTTCTGCCATTTCTTAGCACACTTTTGTTGTATAAAACCATTTGCCTATTCTGGATCTTTCTTTGAAGTAATTTAAATTCTGTGATAACAGCTGCTTCTGAAACTAAGTTGGGACTTGGGAGATTAGATATCCTATAATAACACAACAGTGGTCTTTACATCTGACCCCAAGCATAAGACCCTGTCTGGGATATTTCAGTCTGTCCCCGACCCCTTTCATGAGACTGTCAGGTCACACCAAGGTCAAACAATGTGCAGATTTCATTATTGATGTCTTTCAGGGCTTCAGGGTCATGTCCTGACATTGAGGTCATGAAGAGTTCAATATCTGGGCATGACAGGCCTTAAAAAATGTACATGCACACACACAATAGTCTTAACATTAACCCTTTGAACTAACCTGCTCCAGTTACACAGGTCAGCTCACAACTTTAAAAGTCAAACAATCCCACCAAGTGTAACGTAACTGGTCTCGACCAGTTTTTACCAGTTAGGTGCGGTTCTCTTGCTTTATTTGTCTCATGTCTCATGCTGTGTTTGCTCTCCTGGATAAACTCAAGGGTCAGGAGTTCTTATATTTGTATATTACAACATTTTATTAACATCATGTTAAAGTGAACAAAAAGGAAAAACTGACTGCGTTTGACCACATGAGCTCTAAGCAGGTGCAAATCTGGAGAACTGAACTTGACCTTTGGTTACAGTTGGCAGGGCATGTGGACATGGGCAAGGTGGCCTTTGATATGGGATACTCAAGCTATTTTTTACAGCCAGGGTTGTTTTGCACAATTATGGAGGAATTTTGAAGCAGAAATGTTATTTTACCGCTGTTTTCTGATATTGCCTTCAAGGACATTATATAGGGATGATCCCATTTGATCGATTAATTGATTGATTGATCATGGACATTATATAGGATCCTTGGGGCACTTCCCTGTGGCATGGTCTGCTATGCCATTTGGCACCAAATTTGTACTGTTACCGAGTTAGGCAGCAGGGAGAAGGCCAATATGTTTTGAAATGCAAGAAAGGATAATGAAATGCTCACTTACCGTCACAAACTGAACAGCAGCTGGCAAAACATCCTTCAGCCGTCACGCCCAGCTTCAGTTTGCTAAGCTGAGTCCTGGGCGTCCTCTTGCCTTGTCACTGAGCTTTTGGCTTGTCAGCGAAACTGGAGAGGGGCGTACATTAGTATTTGCCTCAAGACGTCTGTTACACTGTCGTTGTGACAACAGCACAGACCAATGAGCAGTGAATAACGGTTATACTTATGGTAACCCATTGGGTAACAGGCAGTTCCCTAAATGTCTCAATACACACCCTAGGCTATAGCTACTATTTTGGGAGGTCAAATTATGCTGGATGATGAAATCACAGGGCAAACGTTATAGGGTATATTCTTTAACACCCAAGGCTATGCAGACACTGAGGGATACGACTTAAAATAGGGATGAGAGATAGCTTTTTTCCTAAAAACGACCCTCTTTACTCATAATCGCTACGACCTTTCCTCTCATAAAATGTAACGTTATACAAGTATGCTTACGTTTAGCTGAGTCTTGATATGATTTCAAGGTCCAGGGATAGAGTCCCGCATACTAGGACAACCTCCGGACGGCAAACCAGACCCAAAACAACTTTCGTTGACACCCAAGACTCGACCGCTAGGTCGATTGATCGAGGTGAACCGGCCGGCAAGGATGACCTGTGATGCAATACGTGCATTTCCCGCCAAGGTATGTTAGACTCGTCCACATTCTACAGAAGGGTACAACATCAGTATGTGTAGTTTAATGTTTCGAAATCTGTACTTTTCTAGACAATCAAACACGTCATAAATACGAAAACATAGTTAAATCGTTATATTCTCATTAATTTGTTTGGATGTAACTTCTGTAACTTGACTCAGGGGTAAGATAAAGTAATATTGAAGTGTACGATCCTCCGTTGACCCAAATGCCAATGGTACAGTCCAGTTTTAAAATGGCGGCTTCTGGAAACAAACGCGGAAGTGAAGAGGAGGTGTTGTGAATTTTACCTTTCCAATCAATAGCTGTTGCTCCTCTGCTGTTATTATCCCTACTTGTTACACTAAAACCCCTTATCTTGTTACCTGACACCTCTCACATCCAATATTTATCGTAAATTGTTCAAATTATCAGTCTATCGATGACTCACACTGTACCATGACGTCGGAGACCGATGTTGCACAACTTCTTGACATCATTTGTCTATAAATGGCGGAGTCAGAGAGCAACAACATCGTTGTATAGGAACACAAATTTATACCAGACATCGCCGAACAGCCCTGAGAAGATTTGCATTGTTTAAATTTTGGACCGGCCCTGATCCCTCATCAACTGTAACCATAAAATTCAATTAAACAATACCATACGGCAGTCGCTATGAGTTCAGAACCTTCCCTCATTTCAAGTAAGCAGTTGCTCGAGGACCTGCTGCAGGAATTACAGGCAAACAACAAGGACCAGTCTGTGCGCGAGGCACGGGACAGTCTGAACAAGTCACTGGGACTGGACGGGTGTGGACCTGGGTTGAGTGCTGAGGAACAAAGACTACAGGCTGACAGGTAACATTATTACCATTTTTAGGTCATAAAAAATGGTCTTAAAACAGCAGACCTTAACTGAATATAATTGCTTAAGGGGACGTATTCGCCTAAACCAGTGGTGTGATTTGAAAAAAAAAGTTTTAGTATATTAAAGAACATACAAATGTACTAGTAATGTACCCGTCTGCATTGCAAGTTTAATATGGTACCGGGTATATAGAATCTTAAAACATAAGAAATCTTTATTAGCATATGACAGACTCACAAAAAATCTGAATTATCGATAATTATTTACCATCTGAATTAAAATAGTAACAAATATCAAATTTCAAAAGTACATATTTAAAAATTACGGGTGGAATCATTTCAGAGCAGTGTTGATTGGTATAAGAAAGATCATTTCAGTCTCTCGGTTCGGGCATTTTTGCAGTGTAAGATGGCTATGGTTTCTAAGTGTCCTTAAAAAAATTTGTTTCAACAGATGGCTGTCCTGGGCTCGCCAGAAGCACCAGCTCAAGGTTATAACAGCAGCTGTTCCCCAGCTGGGGATTTCACCTCATCTCAGGACAGCAGAGCTGCATGACGTCAGGGTGTTCACCAGGCATGGTCCTGATGATGCTGTGTATGATTCCAACAAGGATTTAAGAGAGAAGGTAAGAAGGCACTTTTGTTTTAGGGTTTGACTCATACACATGTTCATAAATCTAGCAAATGTTAACTATTGCTAGCAATGATACATGTGGTTGCCCTTGGATACCTAAAATAATACTCCATTAGCTTTCATATACAAAATGCATGTACAAAGCTGTTCTTCCTGGAGTTTTTAAAACAAAATTAAATCTGGTCTGATCTATTGTACTATCCATCTCTTTGTAGAATTTGAATGTTTGCTGGTTATTGGAATACATGGAACACCACTCACTGTTTTGTGAATTCTACTATCAGATTTTTAGAGAACCATCATAAAGCTTTATACGGTCCTTGATAATCCCTGATAAAAAAAACTTGTGCTTGATAATGTATCAGGTTGCTAGGGGCAACAGTTTCCTGGAGATCCCAGCTGGTCCTGACAGGGGCACCTACTGTGTGATCCACGCCCTGAAGAAGTTCACAGGTGGGCTGGGAGACGATGATGACAAGGACAGGGGAGACAACCACACATGGAAGAGGTACTTCACCAAGGTAAGGTGATGGACATGTAAATCTGATCAACTTTAAGACTGCTTCAACATGAAATAAAAGCTCTTAACCAATTACCATTCCTACACTCTTGGTTCTGTATGCAGTGTAATCCGTAATTTGTACTTTCTAGGTCTTGAATTTCTGGTCATAGAAAGAAATACACTTTGCGGTCAGCAAACCATAAAAAATCATATTCAACAGTAGTTGAAGTCAATCAATCAATCGACCAATCAATCGACCAATCGATCAATAAATCAATCATTCACTGGGAATTAGAAACTGATGCATGACAGCTGCAGACATGCATAGGTCTCAACAGGTCCATCTACTCCAGTCATACATGTAGTTCTACATCGATCTACATGTAGTCAGTTCTGGTCTTCCCACCTGCTTCTCGGCCAACCCCTTGGGCATTTTCAAGTCAGGTCAGGTTTTGAAAAACCAATTTGATCACATCCAAAGAATGTTTCTTAACATGCCATCCTTCTGCTAGCCTTTAGAGGAGGCCACTACAGTGGTGGCCACGAGGAAGGCCAATGGAGAGGCTGCCCACCTGGGGGCCCGGCTGGTCGGTGGGAAGGTTGTCCTGTGTGGAGGGTCCAAAAATGTCCACATGCTGTTCACTCAAAGAAGTGAGTTGAAATCATACAACACTCATGATCCAAATCTTCATTACAATGTACTTTCCTTCATCTTGTTTTCACTGCTTACTGTTACATCCATTAAAGATTGTCAATAGATAATACATCTGATCTTATGATATCCATTCTATCTGTCTCCAAGTTTCTCCGTTTTCTGCTAAAAGAGAAACTGTTTAAAAATTCTTGATCCTTGGTAGAAGGTGATAACAAAATGTTTTACAATGCTTCTAACCCATTACGTGTGTACATGTTTTGACAGGTCATGTAGACAAGTACAAGGAGAGCAGGTACCAGGTGGCTCGGGAGGTTTGTACAGCCATTATGGACCTGCTGGACGACATGTCAGACCTGCACAGACAGAGGTGGGGCCGGGATAATCATGATAATGATTTATTTATTTATTACATACCTAACTATCTGGACTGCACCCATTGTTTTGTAGTACACAAATAGGTATATGAAGACATTATTTAAATGTCTTATTATTATTATATATAACTATTAAAAGATATATTACCATAAACTTTCATCTCAAACATAACAAATTATTTTCTCATATCTATGTGTAAAATTCATGATGAAAATGGTTGATTTTGAATCTTACAGGCTACAGAGTTTCCTGGTACACACTGGTTACACAGCAGTGTTTGAGGTGTTACAGCCACACCACCAACATGTGGAGGACCTGTCATACCTGAAAAGGTTTGTACTGAGCTTTATTTTAAGAGCAAGTACTGATACACGAAGTATGAAAATTAACAATTTTTATCCTCTTATTCAATTAAAATTATGCTTCGAATGGCTAGCATCTATGTATACACTCCCTACATGTATATAACATTGTATGCTTGAATAGGTATTTTCACCTTCAACACATAGACTATTTTGGACATCATGGAAAGTTTGCAATCTCAGTTCATGTCTTCAAGACCCATATACTATAAATGGAACACCCAGGAAAGAAATTCATATTTTAGAAATTCATATACATGACAGTGGACTGCCATATGTGATTTGTTGACGGTTCATACCCTATGTTACGACAGCCCTATGTTACGACAGCCCTATGTTACGACAGCCCTATGTTACGACAGCCCTATGTTACGACAGCCCTATGTTACGACAGCTATTGTTATTGTTATATGCTGACGAACAATTGATGTCGGCGCCTTTCGCATACGTTAATCTCATTAATAAAACCCGTTTTTCAAGTTTCCATCCAGTAAAATGTATCCACAAATATTTTTCCTCGAACAAAATCATTTCGGATTTAAAAATTCTCTTTTGGGAGTTATATGTTTTTGATGGTCTTGTAGCGGGCGGGTTGCATGAAAATCCACGCCATAGTTCGCTATCCACGCCGCGGTTCGCTGACACTTCCGGGTTGCTTGAATACGCGAAAGGCACCACAAAATTTGTCTCGTGTATGAGAGATAAGATGACGCTTCTTTACATGTTTTGATGTATTTTTGGCGTAATTTGTAGACTAGTAATTTGTAGCGGAAATGTTGCTAGTACGGAAGAAGTACGGACGAAGCAAGGCTCTTCACTATTAAAAGCCGCTATCGCGGGCGCCGGCGCTACCGGAGGTTACAATTTTAATTGTAACCTCCGGTAGCGCCCGCGATAGCCGGAGTTTTGCAGCAGAATGTCCTAATTAAGTATTCCTGACGATACGTTTGCCATTTGTAGCAGTTTTTTTAATGTCAATACTTGTGAAAAATGTGGAATGCTTGTGGACAGTTTCAACTTGTAAACAAGTGTAAACAAATGCCCCGCTCCCTCAGTTAATTTTCGCGACGTGTTCCATATAACTTAATTAATTTTCGCGACCTGGCCCTTCCCAACTGGACGGCCTCTCAGGATCTCTCAGCGACGGAAACACTGTCACTAGTGACAATATATTACGTGAAAATTCCCTTCGAGATCATTACACTCAATACATTTACAAATAATTTATCACTTGGTGTCTGAACACGTTGAAAAAAGGGGGTGTCAAAACATAGGGCTGTCGTAACATAGGGCTGTCGTAACATAGGGCTGTCGTAACATAGGGCTGTCGTAACATAGGGCTGTCGTAACATAGGGCCGACCCCTTGTTGACAGTCTCTGGCCAACATCCTACAGTTGATAGACTTGCTATTAATAAAACTCTTAAACATGATCATGTCTAACACTTTGTTTTTTTCCAGATCAGAACTCAGGTTTATTGCCTGGACTAGCACCGACTTGGAACCCAGGAGTAACTCCCAACTCTGCAGCATGGCTCCACACATGGCTATAGAGATAGCAAGGACCATGGGGCTGCCCACTGTGCAATATGAACTGGTGCCTGCATCAGAGGTGGAGACTCGGATGAAGCAAATCAGGCAGGGTTATGGGTATGAAGGAGAAGTCCTGTATTTCCTTGATGCTGAAGGAGCAGTTATTGGCTTGCTGAAGAAGAAAACAATATGGTAAGTATTGGTGGATGTTTTACATGGACCAAAATATTTCATGTATCTGTAAAAATCTTTAACAATGCTGAAATTTTTAAGCACAGCTCCCTCATTCATCATTACCCCCTTTGCTGCTCTTGACTTTGTTAATGCAGATTTTGGGCAACTCTTCAGCATTTAAAGAGACGTGCTTTAAGTATGATATATTTTAACGATAGTGTCTATTCTCAGGTACATTGTCATCCGAGCCATCAGGGAAAAAGTGCGTAATGCAGCTCAAGCCTACACTAAGAAGAACGACTTTGACATCAACAGGTCTGACAAAAAGGTTAGTAACATTATATTCTCTGGGAATTTGTTAATCTATGTAAGTTGATGTGTTAGTGAGAGAGGGGTATGCTAGTCTGCCATATAAAACATATGCTATGTTTTATGTTTAAATCATAGCAATAAAATACCCATCATATATTCACATCAGATAATCTTGATTTACACCAGAAAAAAGTTTGTGAAAAGAAAACAATCTTTTTAACATGACAACTTTAGTTTGACATCCATATCATTTTCCTGCACTTTATGTTTGTCTTAGTTGGCTAGACTGATAGGAAATGTTATGTACCTAATGTATGACAGTAGCTTGTCCATCTTGTGCTTCAGCTAAAACAGCGTATTGGTGAGATCCAGCAGTGGCTGGGACTGGATGAGGACAGTGTGACGGCCTGGCGGGACCTGGCACACAAGTTCCTCCACTGGGTCATCAACAACCTGCGCTCCAGGACTGTCACCATGGAGGAGGTGGCAGGGGTGTTCCCTGTCGTCTGGAACAGGTTTCTCACAGACACAGGCCTGTCTGATCATGTGACCAGCCAGTGGGAGGAGCCAGAGGGGAGCGATGATTGATTGACATTGTGTCCAATCATGTGACCAGACAGTGGGAGGAGCCAGAGGGCAGCGATGATTGATGGACAATTCCTTGTAACACACCTGCATGCAACTGGTACAATCACAGCTCACAAAGCAATGAGTCAATTTTCTTAACGAATTAGTTTAGTTTCAACAATCATAGAAGAAAAATTCATCTTATAGTATGGATTAGAAGAGGCCTCTTGTGAATATGATCTTCAGTGGTGCACCAAATAAACCCTAGTATAAGTCTATCTTATCTTACATTTATCTTATCAGAAAAGTGGTTTTACCTTAATTTTATGTAACTATTGAGTCTTGTCATTAAAGATTGTGACTGCTAAACATCTACTTTAAGAAATAATTCTAGTGCGTTAGATCGGATCTGTACGTAATGTCATCAGATACATTTTGTAAATCACTACAATCACGGAAAAACTATTAAATTTATGTTGTACCCACCATACGTTACCTCAGTGAAAACGCAGTTCCACCATAGTACTGCGCCATAGAATACACATGTGTAGTCTGTATTTGATTTCCATACACCACATGCAATATGAGTCAGATGATAAGAAGCGTTGCAGTGTTCGCGCCCGGCAAGCTAGAGCAATGATGACATGTGTTTCCAAGGAACGCCTGGCGCGTAAACAAACTAAAAGGTGTTCTAGAACGGTGACTCATAATAGTTTCAGATTCCTTTATCATTCCCGAACAGTGTTCTTAGCAACGGTGATGTGTTGATGCAGCTACTTCTATGCCTTGCGTCATTTTCACGAACGTGAGTTAAAAGATGGCTGCGGCGCGTGTTCTGGCTTTGTTGACGGTACTGATCCCCGGCTACATCTCCTCTGCAGTACTTTCCAGTTCTCTGTCAAACTTTACGCCATCTCACGACTCTTCATTGAACCAGACAATGGTTACACAGTTAATCGCCCCCACCACATGGGCTTCGCGTAACAGTGAAGCTGATGTATTTAGTCCTGAATTTTCTAAAGTCGGTAGGAGAAGTCGACGTGAAGAACCCACCGGCACTAAGTGTCCGGGATTGAGGATAGAGAAGGAGATCTACATCACCCAGACCCTGAATCTTCCCTGTCAGTGGTAAGTAGTATATATGACGATTGCAGGGTCAGCCTGTTAGGCACAAAGTTGGAGATGTAACACATAGCTATAGGTTCCATCCATACGTCAGCAGTCTATCCACATTTTTAACCGATTAGAAAGCCTGGACGACACATGTCGTGTGTCTGCATGGTGGTTGTTTTTTCCTGTGAGAAATCAAATGGTTTTTGCTCTGTTTCTCCTTCTTCTCCAAACAAATAGGGTCAATGACTTAAACCAGTCGTCTGTCACCATGGTAACTGGTGTTGGGTTACATCATGTTGCAATTTTATAGCAGGAGGGATTTAGACTCCTGTCACCATACATGAATGTGTTTGAGTAAGAATTAACAGAGCAGACCATATGCGAAGGTAAACATTATGCATTTGCTTTGCAAATGCTACCTCTCTGGTTTATTTATTATTTACCGCCAATGTTCACATGTTTTGGAAACATTTTTGTCTGAATCCGCAGCCAACCCAAAGGTCAGAAGCTGCTGCGCTGGACGTTTTACCCCCGGGGCGGGGAGGGGGAGATGTCGGTGTGGTTTGACGAGGAGGAGAGGCTGGACCTGGGGAACAAGTTTGACATGACAATCCGACATGCTCAGGTGGGGAGACAACACAACTGTTGTACATTGTGATAGAACATCGCCTGCACTATTACAATATCGTTTAACACACAGAAACGTCCAGATAATCCGATATTCAAAAGCGATTTAATCCATCTCAATCTTTATTGACATGTCAACATTGCAGACATAATAATGTTACCTGAATGGCGTTGATATTTACAAAATGAAAAATTAACACACATATACACATGAACTGGCGCTCTATTGACACGACACGGTTCTCTTGTGGGAACAACTTTGCTGTTGGTACTATTAATGTCTGAAATATGCAGCTCACAGTTGATATTGTCCGCACACAGGTAACCGACAGCGGCATGTACTACTGCAGAGACGGAGACAAACTTCTTGTTCTGTACTATTTGACGGTCAAAGAGCCGAAAGCTGTCAGGCTGAGTCTGGTGGCTCTGAAGGAGAAAACTCTGCCGAACAGAACGGCTGGAGGAATGACGCTGTTTACGTTATGGTCGCCGTGGGGAGAGTGTAACAGGTGTGGCGGGTCCGGGGAACGCGCCAGGATAGGTACGTACATGTATTATATACCTGACGTGTTTGTTTGTCTGTTTATTAGCACATAATCAAAGTAATAAAATAAACATAAGAAGTTGTGCGCGATAAAAAGCCGTTATGGCTCGTCCGCGATCTTCCCCCCACAACATTATTTGTATGACACATTATTATAACAGTAATTGATCAAATAGTACTAATGGTTTTCAACAACATAAAATAATAATTATTATTATTGTAGATAAGAACAACTAATTATTAGATAACGCTAATCAATATTGGTATCGTAACATCTTGAATTAAACCGTGGTGCTTTCCGATGAATCGTAAGTTTGTAAAATTGCTTCTGATACCCGCGACTTTGAGTTATACAGTCAACACAGTCATCAGTAACACAGCACGAATGTAACATAAACGCTGTCTAAAAGCTTCATGATTGTGTAATTAGACTCCCTCTTGTTTTGTTAAGTAAGTTTTGTTTTTAACGGCCTAATCTGTGAAATAGGACTGTGATTTGGTTTTCACGCAGGTGTCACTGGTGACTGAAATTATTTCATTCCCAAAGTTATAACGGATGTTATTTTTACAGGGATTTGTCACGTCGAGGGAAAAGACTTTCCGAAGAACTCAGGCACGGTCATTGCTTGTGACTCCGAGAATCTTCCCGCCGTCGCTAGAGAAGTATTTGGTAAAGAAATCAACCGTCCTGATGAGAGGAGAGTAGAGTTCTGTACCAAAGCCTGTCCGAAAGGTGGGTCATGTAGTTTTTTGTTACTCCGGTAGGACGTTCAAAGATTTCTTTCTGGTACTGTCCTTGGTGCTGAACTAACACCATGTTCAGTAATGCCTTGTACTTTGTTGTTACCTTTGTTACACTAGTTTTTTTGTCACTCCGGTAGGACGTTCACAGATTTCTTTCTGGCACTGTCCTTGGTGCTGAACTTCAACTTGATGTGCTGAACATCACGTTCAATAATACCCTGTACTGTGTTATTACAATTTAGGGAGGGAAGATGCCGATATCTCTGACGTACACTTTTTGTACCCTGTGGTCAGACCCGACCCTTAGAGTAACAAAAGACTATTTTTTTCACTCTGGCAGGACGTTCAACGATTTCTTTCTGGCACTGGCCTTGGTGCTGAACTAACATCATGTTCAGTAATGCCTCGTACTGTGTTATTACAATTCAGGGAGGGGAGTAAGACGATATCTGACGTACATTTTGTGTTCCCCTTGGTCAGATCCGACCCTCAAAGTAACAAAAGACTCCAGCGGACGTGTGGTGAGTTCAGTACGGAGGATGGACGTCAAGCATCGCCCCACCCTCCCCCCTCCCATCAGCAGGAAAACCATGTTCAGGACGAGAGGGGAGAACATCAAGCTGTCGTGCCCCGGGGAGGGCATGGACCGGCCCGTCAGCTGGAAGAACGGCAGCTCGGTGGTCACAGAGACGGAGCTCAAGAAGACCACCAAGGGAAGAATCTTTGTAGACATCGTCAACTCCCTCCACATACGTGACCTGAGAAAACAGGACGGGAACGTTTATACCTGTTGGATAAAGAATCGTCACGTGGGCACGATCAAGGTCTTTGTAAGAGCCCCTGTGGCTCAGGAAGGATGGAAGAAGTACTCGAGTTATTTTGGACTGGGATTCGTCGCTTTAGTAGGCTTGTTCATGACAATGATGACCATTAAGAATAGCAGGGACAAATCGTTTCGATAGACGGTTTACCCGTACAGTTTAAGATAGAAAAAAATGATATTAAATTGCAGCTTCGCTGTCTGGCTGTCATTGCCCTCTATTAATTCATGTCGTTTTATATAAAGGCTGAATGATGTTTTGAGCAATGGCTCATCATTAACAATAGATCGGGATTATTTCTTTGTTTATTTTAGTATTGCCAAACAATACGTTACACAGTCAGTAAACATACTGGTCAAAGTTCAGTTTACGTACGGCACAGTGACAGTTGAGTCCTTAGCTGTGTGTGGTGTGTGAAACAGCCATGTCTCGTGCACGCGCAGTGGTGATTTTGCTGGTCGGGTGCTGGTTTGGAGGACTGGTGGTGGCATGGAAGGTAGAGTGTCTTCAACGTTAGAAAAACTCGTCATATGTGTGCACTATCTGGTGTGATTATGAATTAGTTTGTTCTACGTTTTCACGTCATTTAACAGCATTGAATTTCTTAACCATGTAGCCATCTGTTTAAATTATTTACTTTTTAATGCTTGAAACGATATCGCTTTTCTCAGTTATGTTTATTCCAATCTTTTGCCACATTGTAACACTAGACAGAGCCGGTGGCCAGTTCAGCAGGGTCACGATGTTAATGATTGCTAAAACTTTGTTTGTGTAACCAGATTTGCATGTAAGGCCATGTTGATTTGATTATTTGGATGACATCCGCGCGCGCATGAATTTTCGGCCGTTTCCAAAAAAAAAGTTTTCAACCATACTGTAAATCGTACAAAACAGTTGCAAAATGAGCAAAAATATACCAAAAGTTACAAAAAAATTAACAAAAACTATACCAATGTCGTAGAATGCCAAAATCAAACGAAAAAAGACGAAATTGTAAAGAAATGAACTTGAAGACTAGATTATTCGCCAAATCATATTCTGTGCCATTTGCTCAACCCTCATGACCACGTAGATTTCATAATGAAAAGAACTTTTTTTTGCAAAACTTTTTTTTTATTCGCACGCGCGCATCAGTTTTTGGGCTCCCGGAGGATGTCATCCATATAATCAAATCAACATGGCCTAATGCAAACCTTCCCCACCCCAAAACATGAGATGCTTCCTTACATTGTAATTATATATATATAACCTGTTAAGTAAAAATAGATTTTTTGTCTTGTACTTCTTTCAGATTGGAGTAGTTCTGCAGATGTTAAAAGTGTTAGGAGTGGCTTTATCAGTTGTGGCGCTGTGTCTCTGCTACCTGTGCTACTCCCCTGCGCCGCCAGGTGTCGCTGAGCCGTGGAAGACGACCCTTATCATGACGTTCATGCGATTTGCCTATCTCGTGGTGAGTACATTAAAACGTGACCATACTTTCAAATATTGAAAAATCATTGTAAAATAGCATGTTCATTTTACTGTATCATCACTTACTTCCATTGGTTCTGAATCTTCTAAATTCCTTTTATAAGTCTATTACACAACGCCATATTATTAAATCATGAATAGCTATATAGGTAGGATATTTTCCCAGCGAAATTCCAAAATAGTGACACACGATATAAATGTTATTCACACGTCAATTACAAGGCTATCATTCCTTTATTCACAGTTATCAATTCTTTTATTCTCACTAATGCATTTATCTATTCAATTATTAGTATTTGATGAAGGTTTGATAATCCACACAGGTTCGTGGTTACAAAACGCTCGGGTTCGGAGAGAGTTTAGATGCCATTAGGGCGACGTTTGGGAGGATAAAAGCCCAGGGTCCAGCTGACGATCTCCGCCTGAATATCACGGACATGACGTTTGGTGACGTCAAGGTAAGACTGTATCAACCCAAGGCAAGACAGGGTGAACATTTGGCGGGCCTGCTGTACTTCCACGGCGGAGGATGGGCCTTGGGAACTGTCGGTAAGAATCATCACAAGTCGGTTGTCATTTGCTTTAGCATATTTGACGTGGTTAAGAAAACATTAAGTCCAGAGGGCTACGTACATACACATCACAATCCATATTATATAGCAGTTGATAGGTACCATTGACAACATAAGTTTTCCAACCTAAGCTAATACCTGACTGATATTTCTGCTGACTGTACTAGATATAGAGCTCGAGATGCTAATACCTACTGCATCATCATGCTCTATATACCTTTTATAGTAATATGCACTTTGTTCCAGATCAAAATGAGCAATGGAACCGGTACATGGCGATCAAGACTGGTGCAGTTGTTGTCCACGTGGAGTAAGTATAGACATGCTTTAAAGTAGAACCTCCCAATTTCTCATTAATATCTATGTTTATCAGACATGGTATTTCCGATAGCCATTACATGACTGTAACTGCGCATGCAATCACATCGATGTTTATTTTCAAATTTTTAGCTATCGACTGGCCCCTGAGCACAAGTTTCCAACACCGCTCGAAGACTGCCTCCGGGCCACTGAATACTTTCTTCAACACGCTGAAGACTTCAATGTCGATTTTTCCCGTATCGGCGTCCTGGGGGACAGTGCAGGGGGCAACCTGGCCGCCGCTGTCGCCTTAAAACTCAATCACCCAGGGAAAAGCAACCTTCCACGTTTAAAGTTTCAGGCACTGCTGTACCCAGCACTCCAGGCCTTAGACTTCCGAACGGAGTCGTACAAACGTGGCAACTGTATAACCATCTTAACCATAGACATGATGACTTATTACTGGTGTCTGTATCTAACTGGCAGCACTGCTCGGCACCCAGAATTTTCCAGTAACAACCACGTTCCATCCGCGTTGAGAAAACGTCTGTATACCGCGGATAGTGTCAGTTCAAGCGACAATAACCCGGTCATGAGTTTGCCTGGTGATATGAAAGACATCGTAAATCCATTGTTTGCTCCACTAATGGCTGATGATGAGGACCTAAGGGGTCTTCCTCCAACATATATTCTAACCTGTGGTTATGACGTGCTAAGAGATGATGGAATCATGTATGCTAAGCGGTTAGAGACTGTGGGAGTTCCTGTTACTCGGGATCACCTGGAGAGTGCTTTCCACGGAATCACCAGTATGGGGCTCAAACCATTTTCTTACAGCTTAGGCAAACAGTCTTTGAGAAAAGTAGCCGACATCCTTCGAGAAAATCTGTAAGGATACGACATTAGCTGAAAAGATCGATGTAAAAGCACGACATCTTTATCAAAGTCTTAGTCTTGCTATGATATGATATGATATGATATGCTACCCTAATATGATACAGGTAATAGATACCCAACGTCTGATATAAAACTCATTCACATGCTACACTAATAACAATGATGCCATAAACACCATGCATGGCACCGGTTAATATAGTCGTAAAAACATTGCTTCTGATACCGAGATCGGAATGATACAACAAATTGTTGCTTCATAATAGCTGGCACCTTCAATGTATTTCTGTGACAGTTGGCATCTTTTATCATATTAACCCTAAACCAGGTGCTCTCGTATCGTATTACGGAGATTCAACCTGATAAATGTATACCTTGTCGCTAAAGGGAGACCACTAGTGTACTGCCCTGATACATGACTCTTACAGCAGGGGCTGGGCTCCCATGGTTCTGTTTTTGTCCATAATATCCCCAATTTACACCGGGTTTGTCATGTGCACCCGATGCTTTACTTTGAGACAAGCAGGCTCCTCTAATCTCTTTGGCGTCCAGAATAGAAGGCTCGTCTGTCAAATACACATAGGACGCCGACACTAAGCTGCCATCGTCAGGACTACCCAAGTCGTCCGATACCTCACAACCTCGAGTTTGGCATTCATCAATGGTCGTTAGCGAGTCCATATCGTCATCAGTATTGCCATGTACCCTGGTGCCTCCCCAAAGGCACTGATCGTCTAGGGCAGACCTATTGGGGGATATACGCTTGGGAGATACGTTTGAGGTGTCAAATGTCCTTGCTATGTTTGCATCCTGTTTGGCTGAGCCACAATTTTCGGACGATTTTGCTGCTTCGCCGTCCTGTAGATCAGTCAGCGAGTTTTGGCGGGAAAAGCGGGCCTTCAGGAGGGATCCCTTGCTACATTCCGTCAGTTCTCGCGTAGTTGTGGAGTTTCTTCTGGCCTGAAAAAACAGTCACAACAACAATCATTGTTTCATCATTATGTCTTCATTTGTTTCATGCTCTCTACATATTTGCACGATTGATATCATTATGATCTATCATTGGGCATCATGAGTTTGAAATGAAATGGTTAAATGAACGACAAATAATGAATAAAGATAAGATTTTATTTGTACTTTAATAACTTACTTATAGTAGTTTGTACATGATGTATGTACAGAGAAAATTCATGCCTGTTTATAAGGAGAGAGATTGACTCACTTTTTTGTCGTTCTCGACATTTTGGAACATTTCCTTTGCAAGCCGCTTCTGCTCCTCCTGCATGAAAGACCATAAAAGAACAGTCAGATTTATGCAGTGTAGGGGCAACCGGTGTAAAAGAAGAGGCGACAGTACAAATCAAAGCTGAATCGCGCTATATCTTTCCTACTTGTCATAAATTGAGGGAGATATCAAGTGGTCCTACCGTCCAACAATCATAGAAGTCTTGGCAGAACCGCTCCCATATTTCGAAGAAAGACGAAGGATTGTCCTAAAGAAATGACAGATATTTGTGGTGAGTGATGTTGACGCATTCAATTTGCCGTTTTACAATGTGGATAGACTTGGTATTCCTTGGAATGGAAGCCCACTGAGCCATGACTACTCGAATAAAAAAGAATGAAATTCACTCATGGTAACTCGCATGACAATTCTTGGGTGGTTCTCACCAAGTCTGGGTCCTTGCAGTCGAAAAACGCGAGAAGATCCTTGAACGTGTCTTCCGCCTCCTCCAGTTTCCTTACCTCCCGTTTCAGGGTAAGTTCAGCTGTAACAATAAACACAAAAGATTTCGCTTGATGGGGACCAGAGTGGATTTATGCACTGAATTACACATCAATGTCAAATATGTCAAATATTATGTGCACGAGGAAATGTGGCTGTTATTGGGTTCTTGATTTTGAAAAATTCAGGCAGTTGTTAAAATTTGTTTACCGTGGAATAAGAACGGCTTCATCTTGCAGCGAAACGATGTCACCATGGAGGCCTCACTGCCCTCCAGTACCTTTTGAACCTACAGTCAAACAAAGACAGAAACGTACATGAACGTTATAGCCGTTACAAACTGAACTTCGTTACTACTGCATGTATAAAACCAGGAAACATCCCTTCAAATACAAAATACGACCTTACAAATGTAATGGCAACTTTCGTATAACAGCCTAAACAGGGATATAGACAAAAATTGAACGAAATGTCGAATTTCTTAATTACCAGTCCCTTCACTCTCTTTAGACCTTCGCCCACACTGTGTGCAGTTTTTCTGCTGTCCTTCAGACACGCCTGGAGAAAATAACAATTACGTTATGTCAGCCCACATAGGTGCCAGGGAGTGTGACAGGGCGCTGATAAATACTTCCATGGCTCATACACAGGTATTTTGATAATAAGTAGTACCAATATCCACAAGCGTACGCGCCCACCACATCGGCATACGGTACACATTGACAATTTTCTGAAAATAGGACACAGAACATTAATCCGATTATTTCGCATCATTTCGCATCGCCGACCATAACCTACCTCTCTGGCAGTCTTCATGAGCTCCTGTGTGGGCAGCCTGAACGTGTGTCCGTCCGGACCACAGCCGTCCCCTCTCCGCCGGCAGTACTGCCGCACGATGTACTGCAGGAGGTTCCCGCTTTTGTCCTGGACAGAAGGGAGAGGCGTCATGTTTCTTTTCATAGTGTTGTTGTATCCAGAACCGTGATTAATTATATTTATCCAAAACCATGATTAGCCACGGCTCTGGGCAGTCCACGCGAAAACTATGCAAAACCGTGTCTGACCCATATGGCCCATTCAGGCATACGACATACTATTTTTCGCTGACGTCTCAATATCCAAACGCTCCATATGTATCATCATGTACGATATCCATTAAGTGGCTAAAGCGTAGTTCGCGGCCCAAATGTTAGCATTTTGCAACCGACGAACGCGTCGTTGGTCGACGACCTATTTCACGTTAACGTTCAGCAACATAAATGCGTTCTAACTACATCGTATTTCAGCAGTATTTCAGGAACCTATAAAATAAGTCGTAGTCTAATCTACGTCGTATTTCAGCAAAATAAGTCGTAGGTTGATATGATATGGTAGTAAACTACCTTTGTTCTGACGTCCCTGAGTTTGGCCAGGATGTCCAGTTGGTACCCGTCCGCCTGACCTCTGGGCGTGCTGCCGTTCATGTAGTTCCCGGCAGCCAGGACCAGCCTCAGTACGGCATGCAGATGCTCGCTGAACAACATGCGGAATATTATTAGACTCTCATTTTCAAAAGCACAAACTTTGAAAAGCACACTAAAGTAGTTGTGGCACAATCCTAGCTCCAAGATTCTCGTGAGCTTCTCGGGACCTCTTGGTTTAAGTTAGTGGTGGATTTTTGTATGTTCGCAGCTGTAACTCACGATGGGCTGGAATTTCTCTGGGATTCGGCATGTATATGGTCAGACAGGATCTAGGAATCTAAATCCCTCCTGCTATAAAATTGCAACATGATGTAACCCAACACCAGTTACCATCGTCACAGCCGTCTAGTTCAGGTCATTGACCTTTGTTGTTTGGAGACGAAATAGAGCAAAAACTAAATAGAGCAAAAACGATATGTTTTCCTCCGGTAAACATAATAATCATGGGTACGTACCTATGTCGTAGCTCAGAACATGCCGACATGAGTGAGTTCATCTGTTGGTGCAGGTTGAACATTGTCTCCGAGAAGCGTTCGGTGAATATCCAACACTCCAGTCTGTCCTGGAGATTGTGAACTTCAGCCAGCTGAAGCAGAAACTCTTCCGGTTTGTCCAGGACAACTGTGAAACAAGGGAATACACTTTAATGTCACCGTGTTAATGGGCAGAAAGTGGCGTCGGTGACGCAACGGTTAGAGCGGACTAGGAACCAATGGGTCCCGGGGTCGATACTCACCGTGGCCAGACGTTGTCCATTGGGAAAGGTACTTTACAGGATCTTCCCTCCCTGTACGGTGGAGTGACGCCCAACGAGCCTCTTAGGCTAATCTGTCTAACTGTGTGCCAAAAACACACTACGGATTTGGTGCGCCAATGTGTCAACATTGGCACATTTGCCACCGAGAGCCGTATTTTTTTTAATGTGCAGAAAGAACTGAGCTGAAAAATGCCATATTTAGAAGAATTCACAGATTCACTTACATTTGATATGACAGTATTTACCCTTTACACTTTGAAATGATTGCATGTCTATCCGGATGTGACCTGTATATTTCCTAGTAAATCGTTATTTCAGAAACAAAACTAAAACGATAAGCTTTGTATACACGTGGACTATTGCCTTCTATCTGAAAGTGAGAATGCATGTTTATACTCACCCTGTTTGTTCTCTTGCTTGAACCGTTTGATTTCCGCCAGTTCCTTCTCCGTGGCCCGCATGTCATACAACCCCTGTAGTCTGTCATTGGGTTACCAGAAGGTCACTTTTAGTCAAAGGAAATACACCAAAAATAGGGGAAATATTAATCATATTCTTTGCCAAATTTTGCCACCAAGAGATTTAGAATGGCAACATATGCTGATGTTATATAGTTCCATCTCACCAATGAACTAATGAGCCAATGATATGACAACATCAAAATGTCAGTCATGCACATCTTTATGACCAATATATATTAGTGTTCTCACCTGTCTAAATCCAGCCTCTTGGCGTCCATTTTGTAAATGGCTTCCTGTACTTCCTCCATGGACATCTGCAGACGGCTGATCCTGATCGCTACATCACGTGATCGTTTGTCTTCAAACACCTTTCCCACCTTCAACACATAACAGCAAACATGACTGTTCTGTTATACAGTCAGATGTGGGGCAAGGCTTAAAGGCATCCAATGCGATTTCAGGGCAGCAAAACTGGAAATATTCTGAATAAGGAAATCTTTGTCATATTGACAAATACTGCTTCATACTAGCACATTTCAATCAGTATTTCATACTTTGGGCATTTAAAACTGCAGAAACAAGTCTCAAGATGAGTCCTTTATTTTCTGGGTGGTACCCTAAAAATCAGCCCAGGGCCCTTCCAGTAACCATTTCCCGTCAGAATTTTGGGAATGTTTGCTCCATGAGGGTCAGTATACACTGGGACAGTGTGGTTTCAACTCACTGTGTAGATAAATGACTAGCATATTGGCTTTGAAAAATCGGGTCTCCAAGCCCTAAGAACTGCATTGGATTAAACATGTCTACCATCCAATAATTGTACTGAAAGGTCTTGTAAACCATTGCACCAACCTGTTTTCCCTTCCCGCGCTTCGGCGATGTTGAGAACTGTACCGCTTCAGAGTCAAGGCGCGCACTTACTCCAAACAACCTTCAGGATACGCAATGACAGAAAATAAGTTCGTTCACACTTCTATGGTGTTAAAATGACATTCACTGATTGCTTGGTTTGATGATTTAATAAAGATAAATGAAGAAAATGTTTAATAAAGTTCACCTCTCCAGCTCATCTGTATCGATGGACGGCTCCGTTGTTGTGCTCCAGAAGTTCTCAGGTTTCTTGTCTGTGGTAAAATGGCAAGAAGAAAATCACAAAATGTAAAATTATGTTGATTACAGATAACAACATTTTCAGAGAGATGTTTATGTTGGCTTTGGCTCTGGGCATAATAGACATATTAATGACAAACACGGCAGAGAATACAAGCTATAGTGCATGTTTGTGGATTACCAATTTCAGCAATAGACTTTGTTTCACAAATCAAACAGCACAACATTTCCTAGACTTAGAAAGCCTGGTTTATCATGACGCTCAAGTCTACACACAGGAGCTTCTCTTTCCCACTCACATTTCTTACCTTCACTCGTTCCTTCCAAGACAATCCTCTTCCAAAACAGCGGTCTCATCTTTAACTTTGGGCGAATCAGTGGTTTTGTAGGAGAGATTAGGTTACTAAAACTGGAGTATCCACTGGGCGGAGGGGGAGGGGCCGGTGGCACGATAGCTCCAGCTGTATTGTTGGCGACATGCCCTTCCGTCATCAAGCTAGGTTTTCCTGGTCTGCTTTCAAAATCTGTATGGTCTGAACTAGAGAATCCTACATCGCTATCCGGACAGCGTGCGCCAAAGCCTGGGCACTTGTCGACTTTCACAAAATCCACCGATTCCACCGTTACATCGTCGCGTTTTTGTGACGAAGGAATGCACAAAACATCGCAAACTTTGTTCGGTGAAGTATCCCCTGATTCTACATGTATGTCCATTTTGCCTACATTGTCCTTACTGACAGTAGATTCTTTTGTGGTGGGCCTGAACAGCGCCGTTTCGGCGATGTGAGTTTCGCCGCCGGGCGAGTTGCTGCTACGTCCATCGTAGGTCATGCTTTGTCGAGTCCGGCTCCTCAGGGTAAGTACAGGTCTGGTGTTCGCGTCAATCACAAATAACGCATTTCTACAGCTTCCCCTGGACATCTGTACAGTAGTGTTCCTTAACATTGAAGAACACGTCTCTCCCTGAAACCTGGACTTTACTGTGACATAGTCAGTCAGATCGCACCGTTCGTTAGAACCGTTTACGGCGTGGGGAGTTGATGAGTTAATGGGTTGGTGGTTATTATCTTGTCCATCACCAAAGGCTTCTGGTGTAGACTCATCAATAGAATACAAGACATCTCTTTGCCTTTTGAAGATGCCTCGTGCACTAGGTTGGCCACGACTGAGAGTATTTTGAGGTGCGTAGTCGTTTGGAAGTTCTGAGGGAGAAGGTCTCACTTGAGGAGAAACCATTGAGTGTGAGGTGTGTCCTGTCAGAGGCTCATCGGTGTTCAGAGATGTGGCGATGTTGTCGTTACTGCCTTGAATTGTATCCTGAAAGGCACGTCAAGGATGCGTAATCTAGTGAGTGATTATAACTTTGTAGATATCATATAGATAATGTATCAGACAACTCTTGCGACATGAATATGAACATTAGTGTTACTTGAGTGTGTCGTCTCCTCTCACATATGTTTCAATAAAAACCACTCTTAGAAAGGAGTATGCCATATTCAATTTGTTGACTTTTTCCCGATATAGTTCTATTAAATGTAACCACATAATAGCACGTCCACTTAGCCGCATCATTCTACACGTGGTTTTACAACAAAAATTGTTACTAATACATTACATGCAAGTCCCGCAAGCATTATCAGGAATAGATATAATTGACAGGTCACTCAGCATTTAGTGAACCTTGTAATCCCTATCCCCTTTTGTGTATAGACAGACCTAATTTTCATTTAGATAGTATCGTCAGAGATAATGTAATGCCACTGAAGTATAATGTCAATAACGTATCAGAACCTTGGAAGGCCACTCCAACAATCTTCATAGTGAAGATAAATTGATGATACACATGATAACAGTAAGCTCGTTTGACCAGATTTTGTTTAGTCTCAGACACAACACACTAGGCGTTTCAGAAGTTACCACATAATTCCTTTCCACTACGACAAATCTGGTGATCCAATGAGCAAAAATCGATGTATGTGGAGACCGTTTGATGTCTGAAGTGTACACATATCAGTACATCATACGGTGTTTTAAACACAGAAGTAGTGAGATCGCTCTTGACAGTCTTTAAATAGCACTTATCAGACGTATTAGGTGGCAACGACGTTTGTAAAGTTTATACAGCTTGCCTATTATGTCCTGAAACCCCTTATCCATGGTTGACTGACAACACCGCCTCCTGGGTTGTGGTAATGAAGCCCCCCCCCCATAAAACACACAAACCTTCCTAAGTAACCTCCTAATTTTTGTGAACATAACAAACAGTAAATTCATAGTGTCTTCGGTGTACATTTGAAAGGAGGTTTTATTTCAGCTAGAAATATGATTCATATATTTAAGCCGAAATGTAGAGAGTGCACCTGTTAGTGGCAGAGACATTTTATTAGACTTTTTTTTCACTTTTCTACTGAGTAACAGAAGGTTATGGTAGACAGAAAATGGTATGAACACACGGCTCTGCGAAGTCGTGCTAGCATTTGGACTACGAAAACGCACTGAAGATTATAAAAAAAATAATAACCTTACCGTGGATCCATTTTGTTGACACACTTGCGCTGTTTGATGTGGATTCCCACAATTTTCCTCGACTTTTCCGAGCATGTTGTTTGTTGAATTGTGGCATACGGGGATAGCAGTGCGTGATGTAGAAGTCCCGTCATTTAGAGAGAACATGTACGCATTGGTATGTACTACCACCTCCTACTCTCCGACGATGTCGCCATATGTTCCAGAATTATACACGTCCGACATTAAATATGTTGAGCAACGAATGTATTGTGCATTGAAGACAACTTACCTACGTCTTACAAATGAAGAGTCCATGTACACTACCTAACGTAAACGTTACGGAGCAGGGGTGAACACTGCTAGCTTGGATTGAAGTATAATCTGGCGTCACGGCTTGCTCGGGTACCCCCCACTACACGCGATGGACTATACATCCAAACATGTCAATGGTGTTGTGTTACCAGAACGGCAGAAAGCAGGGCTCCAGTTGCAGGAACAATGGGCGTCAGCGGTACGGCAGGGTCGGGTCGATACAATACCCGGCTTCAGGGCTGAATGCCTTTCATACATTATAGGTTATGAATAGCGCGGCTTGCGTTGCGAAATGAGCCTCCGGCATGCAGGAGGTATTTGTTCGGCTGGAGGTTGGTAACCTTGCCAAGTTTACATGGATGTTAGACATGGCATACAAGATAAGGTGTTTAGTAGTAAACAGTTCGATAGGCAATGAAGTAAGAACCTATCGCACACGATACAGTCATGTAGTGGTTTAGATTCGATCATCGAGCATTTTTCAGCTTCTTATTCTAAAACCAACGGGACTCGGTTTTTCATATGCGTGCACAGTGGATGATCAACGTGAAAAAAAGACATACCTTTTCACCTAGCACAATTATAGCCTAAATTGCGTGTATTATATATTATATATTAATACTAATAGTCATAAATATTAGTGACGACTACAAGACAGATGAACCAGAAACATTGAACAAATCTTGAAGATATATTTGTACGTGTGACGTCGCTTCCCCAGCACTGGTATGGAGAAAAGCGTTTCTTTCACGATTTTCTAAAATCAATAGAAACATTATTCCAGATTCCCCATATGTTGTCGCACTTTCCACTTTAGCTAAAGGGATGAATAGAACTGCTATGACCAACATACAAAGAGAAGAGGCACATCTGGTCAATACAGTCATGGTCACAGTCAAGCATTATTGAGATAATTCGTGCATCAAAATTCGTGCAAACCAGAACTCTCTTTCGACGATTCCTCAGATATTTCCCCAACAACAACGCAGGTATCTAACTGATTTTGTGTCATCGAGACCTCCTTGTTTCAGTCTCAGTACGGGAAGTACTTGTGAGTGGTGAAGCTGCAAAGAAGATACAATGATATCAGATGTATGTCTCTTACATCATTTGACACTTCACAGTGATCATTGATGGCTCATTGATTTTGTCATCATTTAAAAATAACATAGCACGATGTTCATTTATAAATATCATTAGCTAAGTGCACTAAATCTCTGTCCCGGTACTATAGTAATATCGCCCCAAGCAAAATTATGCATTTGTGTATGACCCAGCCGGTACAAACACCCTTTAGCTTAGCGCAACAGCTTTAACTATGGCACTACAATGTTGATTAGAATGTAGAATTCCCATGATGCCTTGCGAGGCGACCTGCTGCGTTTTCTAGAGCTCCACTTTCTCTAGGAGTTTTAGTTTCCTTTCTAAGCCTTTTTCCTTAGTTTTTCAAGTTATTCCGTTTCGTAACCTCCCGGCAAAGATACCAGGATAAGGTTGAGAGTACAACTCTCCTTATTCCTGCTTTGCTGATCCTTGTTTCCTGATTACTACAACGACGACAACCGCCCCCCTCCCACTGACAGCCATGAGTTATGCGTCAGCAGTCGAGAATGGCAAGGCCATAGACACCGCGCCGACGGCCCCTAACGCACCGCCAGCATCCTCATGTAAACCAGTATTCTTTCTGGAGAAGGATGTTCATGCCGTTAGTCCTTCCGAGACTTTCTTCACGAACGTCGAGGTCTACAAAGCTGTTGCGCGCCGTGTTCAAGCGTCAAACATAGCCGGAATACAACAGGTTCGCGGCCTGTGGCGTCTCTACCTACGCGATCCAGAGGAACGTGCTTCTCTCATCGCGTCAGGGATCAGCCTCCGCGACAGGTATGTTGAAATCAGTGACAATCACCCTTTTCAACAGCGAAACGGAGTTAGAATCACAGTTCGAGATGTGCCCCTTTCCGTAGACGATGGAGTTCTAGCGTCTGGCCTGAAAAGCTACGGGGCTAAACTTCTCGGGCCTTTGAAACGTGAAATGCTTCGAGTCGACGGTATGCTGACCAACTGTGAAACCGGCGACCGATTCGCCTTCATGGCTATTCCGACAAACCCTACTGAGCACATTCCGAGATTTGTCGAGCTTGGAGGGCGATGGAGGGCAAGAGTGTTCTACCGAGACCAACCTAAGGACCAGACGCGACCGCGACATGTCCCTAATGACAGTGCTCGCGTGGCTTCTACCCTTGCTCCACGTCCCCCTACCGACACCACTGCTGGGAATGAAGAATCCAGTAATGAACAGCAGAGTCGGGTCAGCACAGCTTTTGTTCAGCTTGCCCCCAGCTCACCTGAAGAGGAAGATCACAGAGACAGGCCTGAGCAATCTCAGGTTAACAGGGGAAAACAGAGCCAAATCACAGACTATGTTGCACCAGCAACTCGTACTAGGAACAGGGGAAGACCCCGGCCCCAGTCCCAGACAACGAACAAGACTACCGCACCAACCGTGGCAACGAGAAGTACCACAAAGAAGAACCAGTCCTCCACTACAACTAGCAGCATAAACACAGACGACCAAGCAGCGATCATGAGACAACGTATCGACGACCTCGTCGAGACAAGTCGTAATGCTGCCAGTGGAACTCACATCGATACTCCTGGCAACTTCCGCAGAGTCAGCCCCGAAGACGGAGGCCTGAACTGTTAGACATGACATTACTTGGGACTCATGCTACCTGTAAGTCACACTCACTCCCATGACCTCTGAACTTAGTTTACTTTCCCTAAATGTACGCGGCTTACGCAACAAATGTAAACGAGACATCGTTTACCTTTGGCTAAGTCAACAGAAAGCGGACATCTTCCTCCTTCAAGAGACATACTTTACCACTGATATTCTTAGTGATCTTGAATTAGACTGGAATGGCTTACAATTCCACGACTTTGGTAGCACCCATAGTCGAGGGGTCTCAATACTCTTTAGAAAAGGACTGGATGTTGATGTAGCTGATGTCTTAAAAGGTAATGATGGAAGAAAACTGATTGTTATATTGCATGATCTCTGTATCCTCAATGTTTATGCCCCCAATGATCGCACTGAGAGAGGGAAATTCTTTAGCGATCTCTGTGATTGGGTAAATGATAACCAGATCACTAACCTGTTAGCAGGTGGAGATTTCAATGATTTAAATGATTGTGAGTTAGATAGGCAATCAAAACACACATTGAGAACACCCACAGGTGGGAATTCCTTGAATATTTAAAGCAAAACTTACTCCTGGTTGACATCTGGCGGAAATTCCATCCCAAGAGGAAACAATTTACTTGGAGAAGGAAGAATCCAGGACCAGTGGCCTCCAGAATTGACTTCTGGCTTATTCAAAAATCTCTTGTCGAACACGTTTTACAGTGTACCATAAAGCCTTCCATGAAATCTGATCATAAGGCCATCTTTATAAAACTGCAACTAAACGAACAAAAGCGTGGGCCAGGACTCTGGCGACTAAATACATTATACCTTTCCGATCAAGATTACATGGACGGTGTTGAAAATTCTATTTTAGAGGTTACTCTGGAACACAAAAACTCTAATATTTCTAAACAGCTCCTATGGGAACTTATCAAGAAACGAATCAAGGAATTCTCCATTGGCTTCTGTAAACGGAAAGCCGCCTTAATGAAACAAGATCTTACTTACTTAGAAAAAAGACTACTAGAACTAGATCATAAAATAGATGAAAACTTAGATGAAACAACTTTAAAGGAATATATTACCGTAAAAACAGAGATTGAGAAAATCTACCAATTAAAAGCCAAAGGTGCTCAAATTAGAGCACGAACAGAATGGGTTGAAAAAGGGGAAAAATCTCTTTCCTACTTTCTCAACCTTGAAAAATGGCAAGCCGCAAATAATAATATCACTAAACTAACTGATGGCGACACTGATGTCACCCGATCAGGGGAAAAATCTTACAGCTAGAAAAATCCTTTTATGAACGTTTGTATACAAGAGACAACTCAGTCTCTGACAGTGATATTGACATGTTTCTAGATACTGTTGAACTAGAATCTAGCCTTTCTGAACATCAAAGACT